TTTTTGAAGCATCTCAGTTTCAATCTTGGGTTGTGTGCACGGCTGCGTACAGATCCAGGATTTCCCGTGTTGTCCAGTCTCCTTGGCCAGACTGTGGTCGCAGAGTCTGTGTTTGGTCAGGGTTTGTCTCTGCTTTTGATCTCTCAAAGCCAATAAGGTGGCCCCGCCAGTTTTTGTTCCCGATCAGGAGCCAGAAAATCACTCGGTTTGTTTGAATTACGTTTAATTTGTCAAATATTAAAGATAGGCATCACTGCTCTGTTGAAAAATGTGGTTTATTCTGATTAGAGCCATTTGGGCTGAGTTTCCGGATGATTTTCATTTGTCGATTTCATGAGCAGTTTATTTCAAAGGCCCAATTTAGCCCTTTTGTTTAAGACTTAGGCATTTTAATTCACATGTGAACCGGGGTGGCGATTTACATCAAAAACACTCATAAAAAGTGACTTGTAGTCTGTTCATCAGGATGTTCTTCATCCAGTAATCCTCACAAAGATGATGGGCGTCATTTCTTAAAGGAAGACAGACACTGAGCATGGGAATACAGATGATCTGGTATCATACTTAGCTCTGGGGCCCGCAGGCCCTCGGTCCTGGGAACACTCCTGACTAGCCTGACCACAAGGAATGCGCTGCGACGGGGCGCAGACGTTTGGCCCCAAATTAAAGAGGGCCGTGCAAATCTACCAGCATCTCTCCTGAGATATGAACTGTTTAAGCTATCAGGGGTAGATGGGACGAGCAGACACGGGCCCAGTGAGGAGGACAGAGGGGAAAGAAGGAAGCTGGCGGCAGCAGCGTAAAAACAGAAAGCAGGGTTTTCTACGCAGCCTGGAAAAGTCTTGAAAAGCATGAAGTTAGATTTTAATGTGTTACCATTCTGAATAAGTATGGAAAAACAAAGTGGGTAGGAAAAGACGTTATATTTCTAGACTTTATTTGCTTTCCTGTTGCTTTTCTTCTGTCCCTCCCTCTTTGCCATCTTTTTTCCTTGTGTTCTTCCTGTTTTCTTTCTACCATCTTCACTTTCTTTTGTTGTGTTCCTCTGTCCTTTGTGTCCTTCTTTTCTTCCCTCTGTTCCTCTTGTCCATTCTTCTTTCTCTACTTCATTACTCTGTTATGCCTTTCCTTTAATTGACCTTCTTTTGTTGCTTTCTCCCTTCCTCCCTCATTCCTTCATGTCCCTCATATCTTGTGTCCATTCTTCTTTCATTTTTTGTGGCTTTTTCTTCTTTCTTCCATCTTGCCTCATTTCTCCCTGAGTCTTTCCTTCCATTGTCATGTCTTTCTTTTTTCCTTCTTTCCATCTTCATTCCTTGAGTCCTTTCTTCTTTCCTCCCTTCACCTGCCTCCTTCTTTGCTACTATCTGTCCAATCTGCCTCCTTCTTTGCTACTATCTGTCCAATCTGCCTCCTTCTTTGCTATCCTCCCTCCTTCCTGCTTTCTGTTCTTCCTTCCTAAGACCTTGCATTCTCCTTTCTTTTCCCCCTCCTTTCATCATTCTCTCTCTCTGTCCCTCGCTTCCTTCTTTCCTTCTGCCTTACCCTTCTCCCTGTTCTTTCCTCGTTTCCTCCTTGCATCCATTTCTTGTGTTTTCCCATCTTCCAGTCTCGTTTTTTTGTTTTTTCCCGGGTTCTTCCATTCCAGAAAATAAATTAAAAGTGAACTTCAGTGTTTTATGTTTTAAAAGGAATCTAGAAAATTGGTGCATCTGAAAAAGTCTGGATGTTTTACAGGAGAAATATGAAGGAACTCTGGGAAAGGATTAAACAGTGAGCCAGGAATGAGTGAAGCTGTGCCTGCAGAATATCCTCCTGCTTGAACCAAAGCTATCTTTATAAATCTCGTAACTTTCTCCTGCAGGCATGGAAGGAGACTACAATGATCAGAAGAAGCAGGAAGAGCAGAAGGAGCAGAAGGAGCAGCCGTACCCTCACCTCATCCTCATGATGATTCCTCCCCACAGGCTGGACGTTCACTCCTCCTCCCGCAGGCGCAAGCGGGCACTCGACACCAATTACTGCTTCAAGTAAGGCCCATTTTCTCTCTCTGGAAAATTGTAAAAGGCTGCTCGCACAATTGTTCATTGTGTTAAACTTTGTAAAGCAATCTGTGTGGCTGCGGTGCCTGTTTTGAAATAGGGAGAACTGGAACCAGCTGATAGGAGGCTAAGTTATAAAAAAGTGGAACAGCCAAAGCCACAAAAGTGGGAACATCAGCCGTCATTTCAAATGCATGTTGGCACACAACACACAAAATATAGCTTGTTGATCAACAAGACAAGCATGACACGGGTACTACCTGATACAAGTCGGGATCTGTCCCAGAGCCAGCGAACGCCACCTCCTCTTACAAACAGTCTCCTCAGCTTTCCACTTCCTCCATCAGGCTGACAGGCGAGCACCAAAGACACCTGGGCTGACTCCAAGAGGGAAAATAAGGGCACACCTAGGAGAGGAATTTCTGAACTTCTCTCTCCTCTCTGACTGAGGGCACAGGGAGGACGTCTGTGCAACTATGAAATCGCTTTACCTGGAAATCAAACGTAATCCTGTCTCTCCCCTCTTGTCTGCAGCAATTACGAGGAGAACTGCTGTGTGCGATCACTATATATTAATTTCCGTCAGGATTTGGGCTGGCGGTGGATCCACCAACCCGAGGGCTACTTTGCAAACTACTGCTCCGGTCCCTGTCCTTACCTTCGTAGCGCAGACACCACCCACAGTTCGGTGAGTCAAACGTGACTTTTACAGCTGCTTTTTCACACAAACTTTAAGGATTGTATGAGATAGGCCAACACAAAATACATACGAACATCATTTTCATGAAAGAGACATAGCAAACCACATGGAAGCCTCTCTGGTCAGATGAGATTCAAATTTTACTTTTTAGCCTCTTAACAACAACAAAACAAAACTGCCATCACTGACCTAGATGTTGCCGCCATGTTTACCTTAATACATGGTGGTGGCAGCATCATGCTGTTCTGATGCTTTTCTTCAGCAGGATGGGGGAACAGGTGGGAGATGATGAGAAAACGGATGCAATACTAGAAGAAATCCTGCAAGAGGGTGCAGAAGATTTGAGACTAGAGTGGAGGTTTATCTCAGGAAAGAATTTCAGGGGGATGAAAACAAATGTTTGGCACCCATTTGAGGTTTCTGTTTGTACAGATTTAGGGTTGCAAGTAACAATTATCTTAATCAATTATTCTGTTGGTTATTCTGACGCTTCTTCGATTAATCTGATAAAAAAAAAAGGTCAGATTCTACAGATTTTTTTTAGCTAACCACTTAAGCTTATTTTATAATTATGAATTAAAAAAAGGTGAAAAATACAAATAAATAATTCTGATCTTAAATGAGAAAATAAACATTTATTGCCCAAAATGCAACAACAGCATTCCTTTTGGGAGCGCTTGATCATTTGTAGGGCAGGATGCATCTGCAGCTAAAATAAAATACTTTTGACATCAACATGTGACAAGCTCAGCCCTTTCTGCTCAACTTTGCATCACTACAGTGTAGGGCTGATCTGTTGATTATGATGTTTGATTAACTGATTAACAGTTAGATTGGAAAAGGTGCTTAGTGGGATTTTTTTCACACAATTTGAGCCAGATGAAGCTAAAACTACTCCACCTAAGGAGTTCTGGTTATCTTACATGCAAAATGTTTGTTTTTCTTTTTACAGTTTTGACTTAATTGTGACTCTGACTGTTATTCTTTCAGCACATGGCCTTTTTTGAGTCTGTTTACTTTAAGTTAACAATTACATTAGTTGATTATTTCAATAACTGGTTCACCAAGATTAATACTATTAATCATTTCAGCCCTACACAGAATTATACCTACTTTTTGCTTCACATCACAGTAAAACAGAACATTGTGTTGGTCTAAAACAGAAATCCCCATTAATGCTATGCAGTTTAACTAAAAGGCGGGTGAGTACTTTTACAAGCATCACTGCTCCTCAGCAGTGAAACTTTTAAAAGCCTTTAAAAGCCTCACTGCTGATCTTCTCTCCACAGCTGCTGAGCCTCTACAACACCCTGAACCCAGAAGCCTCCGCCTCACCCTGCTGCGTTCCTCAGGACCTGGAGCCCCTCACCATCCTCTACTACGTGGGACGCTCCCCGAAAGTCGAGCAGCTCTCCAACATGGTTGTCAAGTCCTGCAAGTGCAGCTAAGCTTCAGGGACCCCGCAGAGAGGAGGCGCCTCGCAGGAATTTAAATTGGGCAGGATGCAATTTGTCCTCCAACGATCCCCCAACCCAGCCCCAACCTCGCCTCCGCTTCAGCCCTGCCCAAGAGGAAAAAGCAATCCGGCGATCTCCATTTACCAGAAGTCATCAGAGACCACTCCCACCGTGACTGACATCAGTATTACTCGTGTTTTGTCCTGTTAACTAATACAGCATTTTTGAAAAGCCTGTACCTCACATGACTTTTGTTTTCACTGAACGAGGAACAAGAACGACCTTCTCGTTAGAAATCTCAAGGACAATAAACGTGTGCAACCAAGACGAGACTGAGAACGCGAACTGGACTCAGCGTGCGGCGAAAAGCGGCAGGACGAGATGGTGATGTGCTTGCAGGGAGGAAACTTTGGGACATGACGGGAAATCCAACCTGGAAGCTGCACTGTGCACGCCACAGCTCCCCACACTTTCTGTTGAGGAGTTCATGCTGATTAGTAAAAACAATAATAGAGATGAAAAAAAAAAAGAAAACATGCTGGAATCCAATCGTTATTTCATCTTAGTAATGCTGTGGTCATGTTTACCTCTGTAATGCAACAGCATGGGTGATTCCAGGGATCATTTTAAAAGTGAAGCCTTTCTGTTATATGAGCTGATGTATGTCACTAAATGAACTCAACTAGATCACAAACTGTAAATGTTTTTATTACTCATGAAAACACTTTTTTTTTTGTTTTGTTATGTTTTTTTTTGTTTTTGTTTTTTTTAATTAAAGAATGACAATCGGACAGCTCCATATCATTTTTTGGACAAATACACAAACAGTTTATTTATTGATATTTAATCCAGTGTTTATGCTACGGTCTGCTTATGGAAAACACATCACAGAACAACATCGAGTCTTGTAACATGCCAGCGCTGGCTTCAAGGGTAATTAATACACAACACGACGTTCATCACATCTTACAAAAACAATCCATTACATTACTGCGCTGCTTTGAAAACTACAAAATGTGCAAAAATAACCGTTAGAGAAAACATTGCACAAAATTCAAGTATTTCAGTCGTCAAACAGAAAGTGACTTTTACTCCACAATAAAACTTCGATTGAGCTCTCCATGTGCTCCCAAGTACAATAATTACAATAAGTACTTTGTAAAATACCCCTTGGATTCTCTCTCATTTGGTCACGCTACAATCACAATTTAAATGTTTTTATTAGGATTTTATGTGATAGACCAACACAAAGAAGTGCATAATTGTGAAATGGAAGGAGAGGGATGCATGGTTCACATTTGGAAAACCACATCTATGCTGGAGAGACTGTAGTGTTTTTTTTTTTTTTATTCCCATTCCTTCGCGCAAAGTAGCTCAGTGAGATTGCACAGTGTCTGTGAAGAACAGATTCACAGTCTGATTAACATCTTGACTTTGCATCATTTTAAACACATGAATATTGTTTTATCTACAACCAGTTCCCTATTGCTCTGGCTGCATGTTGGGTTTTGTTGTCCTGCTGGACGCTGAATCTTCAGGCCAGTCCAAAGTCGTTTCTTATTCCACGATTGGCCAGCATTCATTCATCTCCACATCAACTCTGTTTGCTCACTAATAAAGTCTAATAAATCTCTGAAGTCCTAACAAACCGCTTGGATTTACACAGAGATCACATGGAAGTGGACTCTGTTTACTTATTAGAAGGCTTCTGAAGGCAGTTAGTTGGTTGCACTGGATTTTTATTTAGGAGAATCAGAGTAAAGGGACAGAATAGAAATGAACAGATCACGAACCATGCATCGCTTTTATCTACTCGTGACAAAAAGGTGAGAGAGAAAGTTAAAGGGATATTAATACTTCGCAAAACACTTTAGATCTGCATGTTCTGCATTAAATTAACATACACTGCAGTGTTTATTTATACGTGACTTTCCAAAGAGGTTGTGATCAATATTTTTGGGGCTTTCTGAAGATTTTTCTTTGGACTTTAGACGTTTTCTGTATTTGATAATGATGGTTAATGTGGCAGTGTTTCCTTAAAAATAGAGACAAGTGGATAAATGTTTTGTAAGGCCTAAATTACTTTTTGAAATCTAAAGAAACAGGAGAAAAAGATCCAGTAAAAACCTGACAAAAGTCCTGAGAGATGGATTATCCACTGTGAGCCAAGAATTAGTGAATAAGTCTTTGCAGAACTAAGTCAAAATTGGCTCTTTACCAATTTGTATGTTATGAAGACACAACACTGCTTTGTCCTTTCAGTTTAACGGTGAATTTATGGCTGAATGAGTCATAAGAAAGAACAGCAGAAATATTTGTTTGAAAAGGTCAGCTACTGAGTGCATATGAGTAAAAAGCAGCCAACATCTGAAGAATAAAAATCTAAATAAAAAAACCCCTGAAGAACTATTAGGACTGGGAAATGATACTGCTAATCCATAAATAACCCTATTTGCAATTTATTGTTGGTTTTAGAACAGAAATTTGCCAAAAATTAGATTTTTCAAGTTTTGTTTTTTTTACAAAATAAATTATGTGCATAATGACAATAATTTCCACATTTAATTTAATCCATCCATGTGAAGAATATCAACATCTTTACATTTCACAACAAAAGTTACAGGTTAAATTTGTGAACTCTTCAAACACAGGAGACAAGGCAACACCCCTTCGTATATCAGTTTAAGCTATCTGAATGTTTCAGCTTACAAGCTGCAGGAAGCTATACTTTTACTCGTCCTCAGGCAATGGGCAGAGATTTGGCAGCTGTATGGCTTTCAGAATAGTTAGAAGCCACACATGAAAGGTACTTTCATGCTCACCATGTGCTGCAGTAACACAAGAAGCTACTTATTCAGTGCTAACAACGCTTGTCAAACAAAAATCACCAAAACTCTCTCATTATGCTTGTCTGGCTGTATTTTTTTTTTTTTTCTTGTCGCTTGGTTGAAGAGATGTGGTTACACAGCCAGAGGTGCACACCCCAACAGGTTTTGTGGACCCATATGCTGAAGGCTATCTGTCAGTGAAACCTTCCTGTGGCTTTGGTGGCATGGAGGGAATGAGAGCGGGCAGCTGCTCGGATGCAGACTGGCAGTAGCCAAGGGCGATGAAGGTTTGGGGTGGGTGGCGGGCCTGGAGCTGTGCAACTAAATCCCAACCTGCGTCAAAGCTTGGCGTTCTTGGCCTCGCATGTCTGTGGCAGCACGCTAGATGAATTAATAGCATACTACTCAATGTTAGGCATACTTTAATCTGTTGTCCTCTCCCAGAATATCACCGTGTGAGATGCGGTTACATGCACAGACACCTGTCAGGCCTGCAGAATGGAAGGACGCGCCCTAGATCCTCTTCGTGTCATCTGTGGGAGGGCTCCTGGACCTGGAACAGCCTGCCGTACGCAGGAAAGCCTGGAGAGAAACACAAGAAGGCAGCTGCTTCACTGTCTTCTCCATGTCTGAACATTAAAAACATGTCGAACCAGGAGGAGTTTTTCGTCAGATGACCTCACTAAAACCCTGGTGGTAATTGGTTTGTTGACATATCTATTATTCACGGTCGAGGAGGTCACCGGTTCATCCGCTCAGCGAGCTCACTCGTTCCTCGCTTACAGCGCCTGAACGCCTCTTATCGACTGGCGTTCAGCCAGATATCCTGCAGGAAAAAGGCATTCCGAGAAAAATCGAAGCAGCCGCGTTTGTGCTCCCCAACAGTAAGCCTTTCATTCCCCTCTCGGCAAGTTGTTTGTTTTGGTGCTCCTTTACACTTTGGGGCCTGACTGAGCTGGAAAACGAAAACATCTTGCTGACTTTGAATATGATGATCTGACTGTTGGAAGTGGCTTCCTCCAGCTTAGCAAATGGGGGGGAAAAAAAAAAGAAAGATGAAATATTGCCTGTTCAAGTCCAAATGTCACAAGATAAACTTTCAGTTCCTTAATGTCTCCAGAATCCGTAGGATTGTTCATATTTTACCACACTAGAATCATCTGTTTATTTCACTGGGATTATCTGGTACATCAACACAAAATAGTGAACAACTGTAACACGGAATTAAATCCATACTTGTTTTTAGAATTTTTAAACATAAAAACCTGGTGATATGTATATAAATCCAGATCCACCCAGCAGGTAAATTTTGCCGAGAGGACAAATAATGGTAGTGCACTTCTGAAAACTGGGTTTTATTGAAAAGGGACTTGAAGAAAGCTAAAGAAAGTCCTAGTTAAAGTTTACCAAATGGCATGTAGGAACACGGCAGCTATGTGGAACAAGTACATCCAAACTAAAAGTTCTTGAGGCCGATGCAATGACATGTTCCTGTTATTCAAACTAACATCTCAAACCATATTAAACACAACATTCCTATGATGAAACCAGAATAACTTGAAACTGACAAAGGTAACAATCAATAAAAATGTACTGAAAATGAAATTAAACGATGAAACTCTGACACTGTTTTTGAAATGTAGTTCAACAGAATTATTTAAAAAAAATAAACTAATAAAACTGCCAAGAGCAAAAATGATTGGAAGCATTTGTGCTTATCCTTCTCTTTAATTTGTAATTAATTTTCCATGTGCAGTCTCAGCCACGGAGGTTGCAGTGGCTACAGTCCCACTGATCTTCAACTTATGAAAAATATGTGCAACTGTCATCACAGAAGCATCAAGCTGCTGACAGACGGTCTTATAACCTTCACTTTTGAAATACTGGTCAATAATTTTCTTCCTGATCTCCTGGGACAATTCTCCCCGTCACTTCCTGTTGTTCCTGTTCAGTGAGCTACACACCATGTCACCAAAGTGCACAGTGACTACTTATCACCTTTTGCAGCTCAAACTAAATGCATCCCCACAAACATGAATGAAGGAACTGGGTTGTTTTCTGGCACCGATGAGGCTTTTAAATGTTGGCCAAACATATTTAATTCAGCTGAGATCAGAGAATTACAGAAGCTTATTGACTAATTAGAGAACACACTTAAGCTTTAAAATGCCCCTGTGGACAAATAACTTTCTGAAGGTACTATCATTTTTGTCCAAACCTGTTTCATTAGTTTATTTTTTTAATGATTCTGTTGAACCACATTTCAAAGGGAATGCCTGATTTTCATTGGTTCATTTTCAGTAAGGTTTTGGTCTGTTTCAAGATTTTTAGGAGACCATTGTGGGTTTTCTTTGGTCATTAACAGAAAGGCACCAACAGTTCTGTGCATGTGTATATATGGATCTATTAAAAATATGGCAAGATTTGAGAATCGATGCTCACAGATGGTCTTAATAAAATCTGATTGAGTTTGAGCAATTTTACAAAGAATTGGCAAACTTTTCAGGCTCTAAATTACAAATACAAATGCATTTCACACTTTATTTATGCTTAAAACATTTTTAAAATAATAATTTTCCTCTGATTTCACAGTTTATCCTTCTTTGTGTTGGTCTGTCACATAAAAACCCCAACAAAACAGCAAAAGTCAATAATTTTGCAAGGTACTGTTTCATGTACGTTGTTTGAAAAGAGTGATTCAGGCAGTAAATTGCATAATACATCTGGAAAGGGGATGTCGGTCAGTAACTACCCTGCTTTCCCAACGCTCCACACAGACCTACTTTGATAGAAAGAGGCTTAGGCTATTTGTTCTAACACGATCAGACCCCCATTAAAGTGGCACAAATGCTGCATTCATTTCCTTTTCGGGCTTGAGCAATAAATCTCCACACAGTTACCAACTGTAGAGAGCAGAGAACTTCAAGGAAACCTCAAGGGAAGCATTGTAAAACACATGTGGTGGATATAATGTCGTTTTGTAAGCTTTGGTGGGTCCTCATCAGAACCGTGCCCTCGTGTCATGTCTAAAATCAACACAGGAGAGGAGGGGGAGAAGGAGAGACGGGGAGGCTGACGTGAGCGAGCCGGAGAAGTTTTCAGGGGAAAGAGGGAGAGCCGTACGAGCGCCGAGCCAGAGATTAAAAGAGCGCGCAGGAGAGAGATAAAGCGGGAGTGTGATTAACGATGGGTGACAGCTGATCATAGAGAATGTTCTCCATTTGGACTCGCTCTAACTGCCTGTCAGAGTCAATCAGGGGAGCTCAGTCATCTTGCTACAAAGGCAGAAAGACCTGATGCACTTCTGTGCTCCACAAAGGCTGCAGCCATTCCGACAGCAGCCTCCTTCTCTTTAAGCTGCACACCGAATCCCTCTTATTCAAGAAAATACAGCATGCAGCACTAGTAAAAACTTCCCATGCGCTGATTAGGGATTATTTTAATCGTTCTTTTCTTCGGTTACAAGCAAGTGTAAACATACACATACGTCCCTGCGAATATTTCGACGGATGTCCCTTGAAAGTTACAGAAAAACCACATGCTTTTTTTGTAGTCACCAACAAGCTTCTGGCATAACTCAAGCTGGATATTTGACCACTTGTCTTGACAGATTTAGTAGACCTCATTCAGATTGTTTGGTTTGCTGGCAGAGACCCAACATTTAGGAAAAGTCCGCAAGCTTGAATGGGGTCGAGGTCTAGAAGCTTAAGGGTATCCAGTGTGATTCATGCCAAAAACCAGTTCTGATGGGATTGGATCATTGTCCAGGTTGAAGACCAAACTCTGTCCCAAGTTAAATCATCAAGCTGTTGATTTGAGGAGAAGTAGAAGAATGTCCAACCATTTTGTGCAATGCATCAATATTACTGGCACAAAAACAGACCCAGAGTCTGATGCTACCATCACCATGCTTCAGACTGGATTCAGTTTTCTTAGGTTTGAAAGCCTCGCCTTGACTCCTCCTAACATTCATGTTGAGATTATGACTGGAAAGGTAAAAAATTATTTCATTTGACCATAAAACTTTTCCCCACAAGGTATCTGGTTGGTCCTGTGACAGACTGGCGACTTGTCCAGGGTGTACCCCGCCTCTTGCCCGGAACGTTAGCTGGAGATAGGCACCAGCAACCCTCCCGACCCCACTGTGGACAAAGGTGTTAGAAAATGGATGGATGGATGGGTGTCTGGTTTGTTTATGTGTAGAGAGATGTGAATTTTAGTGACGGTTTTCGAGCAAGTGCTTCTTTTTTGTTGATATCAGGCTCACTTCACTATACACAGTGACACAGAAGCAGCTTCCAGTTTATGGTTGACTTGAGCCTTGATTGCTTCAGTAAGTTATTATTGAGCGTCCCAATAAATCTGCTTTTATCAAAGAGTAACAGTTTGTGTTATTTCAACATAAATTGCTGTTTTAACAGTTTTTGTTCATAAAAGCACATTTAGAAATGTTTTAGAATGGATTAGACAGGCAGACAAGTAGCCAGGCCACTGCCTTCCTATGCAATCCCACTTGATTCTCATCTCCCTTCAGTGCTCCATCTGGGATTTCTCCAATTGAGCTTGATTTTTCCGGTGTAATTTCAATCAGCAAGCAAGAGGAGTTGAGAAAAATGTACAACTATATGTACTGTTGTAGATTTTTAGTCTGCCTGCATAGGGTTGTGGTTTGGTAAAGGCAGCAGAGGAAGTGAACAAAGCCTTTCAGTCCGTGTTGGCCACACTTCCAAATATTGAACAATTAATAATGGAGCAAGAAGAATATACAGTACAAGACATTTTATTGATGGCAAAGATGTCGTGTCCCTTCTCCCCTTGGGGTTGCTTTGTTCACAGTGCTTGTAGTTTTCACATAGCTTCGTCAAATTGGTGCATTACATATAGTATGGCCAACAGTTTGGTAATGTTTAAAACTTCAACACAGTTCACGCCTCCAGGAAGGCTTGGTATGACTTGCAAGTATTAAAAATTCAAGAAATATGCTGAAAAGCAAAGACAACTCTTCTAAACTAACCAAAATAAATGCAATATACAGATAATACCATTGGTCAAACAACCAGTGGGAATTACTTGATAGCTACAAAAGTGTGATGTTTGTCTGCAACACACTGACAGGCATTTAACCAAATATCACTGGGGTTCAAGTATATATTCAGGCTTATATGTATAATTTTGACACTTAATACTGCAATATGCAAAGATAAATAATATGAGATCCACTGTAACCTTTTTACCAGCACTATATGTAAGCTATAAAGGCTTAAGATTATTTTTACAGATAGACCAGAGAAACATTCCTTACCCTGCGCATCCTGAATGATGGAAAAAGTGCATTTAAGAAATTTAGAAGCTGCTCCTAAAGGATCCAGTTACAGTAATTGATGAGTTTATAAGATGTTAGTTGGGTTCAGCCAGTATTCTGAGCTTATGGGCAGAGAGAAGAAGGACAAAGGGGAATATTTCGAGAGAAGTTTTCTTTGAAGGTGTTTGTGTGGGGTACGAGCGTGACCCACACAAACACCTTCATATACAGTAACAGAGCATGACCCTGTTACTGTATATTTCCATCTCAGGCCCGTCTTCACAGACAGGATGACATGTAAAGGATCTGCTGGTACTAATGTACAGCAGATTATTGGGAAAAGCATATAATCAAACAAACAGATGTGACCAAACTGCCTGACATCAACGTCACTGCAATGAAGCACAGAGTTGTGTAAATGATTGTGAAAGAACCCACACAGTCTGAGCAGAATATATCCTTTAAAGAGGATTATTTCTTTAGTGCAGCTCTTGCTGTTTGCACAGTAACTGGGAATAGTGTGAACATTTGGCATTACTGGGTCTCTAAGTGCAAATAAAAAAAGTCTTTACTATGCTCTCTTATCTTTCAGCTATTATCAGACATTAAGTCAGTGACGCACACACCATGTAAAACCAAACTGAAAATCGCCCTACGGGGAATTTGGTTTTATCCACGTCTAAATCCTCTTGGAGTTAAAGTGTTTTTCCAAAAAATTAACAAGGGTGTGTTTACCACTATTACCCATAACCATTTGGGTAATTATGACCAGTAGCTGCAATTCTGAAACATTTCATAATGCATCAAAACATTTCAGCTTTTCTAAAGGGGTAAATCATATTTTTTTAAGTGGGATTATGTTAAGCGGTTATGAGTAGTTAATATCTTAACTCCAGTAGGTATCACGTTTTTGCAAATACTAGCCTACAAACTGAAAGTTTGATCACCCAAAGTGAATGGTTACTTGCATAAATGTTTGGGTTATTTAAAGTGCAGGAAAATAAAGAAACAAAGGGATGGTGGGGGGAATAAATGGTCAAGACAAGTAAAACAAAAGACAAAAATTAAGAAAATTCTGTTCTGATGTAAAGAACCTGACAGTTTCTCCATGTCAGGCATTTCTGTACTTTTGACAAGAGAGTCTTCATTGTGATAAATGGCTTAAGATGGTAATGAGCTTCTTTGGTAATAGACCTTAGGTGCATATTAAAATTTAGCTCTGAGTGAATAATGACACCTAGTTTTAGTAGATGGTCTCTGGTGGTTAGCCTCATTAAGCTTAGTTGAGTAACAACCTCCACACGAATACTGTGGAAAATCTTAGTGACTGCAAGTGCCTGTGGTGACGTGGTGACACAGAAGTATAAAGCTGTGTGTCATCAGCAAACAGAGAGAGACATAATCTGAGATGGGTATGATCAATTAATACAGGTCTAGACAAACTCACTCAGCTAGTCCATCAACTCAGCTCAGCTGAGTCAAAAGCAGTTTTATCAATGAAATATTGGTGTTTGGATTGGCAGAAAATGCACTGGTGAGATTTTCTAAACCAAAATATACTTTATTGATAAAACTGGATTTTTGATGATCTTTCCAATAGAAGGTTACAAATGGATGTCTAATGACCTGTGGTTATTTACAATGAAGATCACTTTAATAACAACTACATGTTACCAAACTGGCTTAAAACAAGCCATGTTCTGACTAGTCATGCAGGTTCCTGCGATCTTAGGGAGGTACAACTACAAAAGAGGGAACACTGCAGCAAAGGACGTGACTGGTGGAGAAAACTGTCAGCACTGAGACACATAAGTGTGCCAAGGCAACACAGCTCACAGGATTTCAGCCACAGGTGCTTCTTTAAAGCAATGCCAATAGGTTCACATATTCTGCACAGTTCCCACTTTTTAACTAGGCACTAGAGATGAGCCTTTTAGATGCACCAAAGTCTCCAGTTCAACATAATTAATTTGCAAAAACTGACAAACTTTCTGATTTTTGTGACCAAATTTCTTACTTTTTCAGACTAAAATGAACAGATATGTCAGTCTTGCCCATTTTAAAGCATGAATACAAAAGTTTACTTTGAATTTACCAAAAATATCCGATTCATTTTGGAATTGAAATATGAAATGTGCAAATTTGATGGATCCATCTATCAAATTGGATGGAAGGATGTTTACATAAAAGACATAAAATAATGGAAATAATATCTGAAGATACAGTGAAAAACAACCCAAATTTATTTAATTTAAGATTGAAAATATGAAAATTCCAAACTTTTTCTTACTACTTAGTCAGCCTGATTTTCAAATCATTGAACATTTTCTCTTCCTTTCTTCAATAGTACCCTGGAAAAGGGTTTTACTACAGGTACTAATAAAACCTCAGTGTAATAACTAGTTGGAACTGAAGTTTGACTGTTATTTCAAACTCCAACAATGCTATAAATTTTAACAGTGAGCAACTGAGAAAGAAAGAGCAGGATAAAAATATCCAGTGGTGTTTATCAGTCCTCAATGGGGAATGTCCACTATGCATGCCTGTAATCACTAACACTGGCATAGAGGCATAACTCCCTCCAGCCTGAGGACTGTGGTACAGCATGAAGTGTATGTACGTGTAGAGCTGCAACATCAAACCCACCTGTTTTACCGCAAATGGCCTCGTAGACCACCTGCTGGCTGCTTGACATGGAACCACTGGCTGAACTCTCTGAGGACATCTGCCTGTTAATCAGAAACAGCTTAAGAATGAACAACGACTGAAAATGATTATTTTTTAAGAAAGTAATGTTGGGGAAAAAATATCCCAAGGACTGTTTGTTTCTGCAGACCTCCAAGGCCTCTGTGGAACTAAACATCTAAACCAAACACGAGGAGAAACAGTTTCTCCCTGCGTGTGATTGTTTTAGCCGCCGTGCGAGCCCTATGACATGAGTAAAGCGGACTCAGATTCAAATAGTTGCACTTTGTGTGCAGTCTGTGGAGCCTGGTGGGGCTAAGTGTTTACTGAGTGCCTCTTGAGGGCTATTGTGACAAGAAGGAGAGAAATTCCTCCTCCTTGTCCAGGGTGATGTGATTATCACACTGGCTAGCATAGGCCGGTGATTACTGACTGAGTCAAGCTGCAGGAAAAGGTTTCAAACATAAAGAATATGCAGAGTAATTAGCAAATACAGTGGTGTATTTACCTCACAGGGCTTCATAAACAAGTCTAAAGATTGTAGAAAAGAAATTAAATACCTCTTTTCACATAATTGCACAGTGAGTGCAGTGTTTTCCAGAAGCACGCTATTAAAAGAGCTACTGAAGCATAAAGCATGAACAGACACGTCTGTAACCTTATGCATTAATTCTGTTGAGCATTTTTAGGGGGAACAATAAATAAAGCTTAGCTGGCATTAACCTCTCGCCCCATAACAGCAGCATGCCAAAGGAGCATTAATAAGGTAATGAGGGTACACACTGCCTCCTTGTAAGGGGCTGCACAGTTGTTCTTTCATACCATTACACAACCACAAATAGAACTGGCCCACTTTAAGCGTGGCATACCTCGACAGGAAGCAGCCCCTTTCACATTGAGAGGGCGAGTGGGGGGGAAGCTTGACCTTTGGGTCCTTTCACATCACTTTCTTTGTCAACAGTCTCTCACTCTGTCACTTTAAGAGTCAAACAGCAGCCAGAAGCGCTGCAGGTGAGAGCTGACTCTGAACCTGCAGTGTGTGCAGATGGCTCCTTAAGCACAACGTTTGGGAAAGTCTAACAATTCACTCAGATCTGCAGTTCCTGTGCTTGCTCCAGTAGCGTGTGCCTAATGCGATTCCACCCTGACCAACAGCGGATAAAGTTTAACCATAAACACACGCTTGGCGGCTTCTGTCTGTATAGAGTATTCTATGAAAATAACTACTGTTGTGGCTGATTAATAGGGAGTGAGAGCAACAGCGAGGCTGACATTAATGGCGCTGGTGTAATTGTCACTCTATTAGTAATGCCACACGATAGCACGGGTTTCCGTAGTTACAGCTGCGACTAACCAAACCTTGCAAACAAAATACCAAACAGGCTCATTTATTTGCATTACAAATTGCTGCTTTCAAAGCCTTCACTGAAGTCATACCACTTTGAGCCTTTGCAGCCCCTCAAGTTGGCAGCTGGGGTATGATGATAGAGCAACGAGAGGGCCCTGCCCTGCTAAGTATGATACCAACAAGCTGCACATTTGCTTCAACTGAGCATGCTCTGTGGCAGCAGAGCTTTAATGGCAATCCTGAAGGCTGAGAGTCTGCAAAAGTGGTCACAGCCTTTTAACTTTCTCACTATTGATCATACTACAACCACAGACGTCAAGGTGTTTTATTAGAATTTAAGGGGATAAAATATGTGGAAAATTGTCAAGTTGCAAGAAAGGGATGCATCATTTTAGCTATTCTATATTTAAATATCAGAAGAATGTGGCAAGCCTCTGCGTTCAATCCACCTGACATTATTTTGATTATCCAGTTTTTGTGGCAAGTACAGACATAAGTCTTTTGGTTTTGTTTCAACCACCTTTGCACATAAAAACACTAAAATAGATCTGGCTCAGTCAGATTAGATGAACATCAATCTTCGTGCAGCCAATTCTCGATGGGATTTAGGTTCTAGAATTTAACTGGGTCATTTTGATACATAAATATGCTTTGATTTGTGTGTGTGTGTATAAAGGGATTCCACTGGAGCTCTGGTTGGATATTTACAGTTTTGACCTGAAGGAAGTCTCAACTCTGCAGCTTCTAAATAGATTTTCTTCCAGGATAGCCCTGCATTTACTCCATCCATCTGCGCATCAACTAGAGATGAAGTGTACAAGGTGATGTACAATGTTAGTTTAGTTTTTATTCAGGGATATTGGAGTAAACCATGTACCCTTTTCGTTCCATTCGACAATTATGCAATAATGTGTTGTTCTATCACATCAAATCTAAATTAGTGGTTGCAATGTGAAAAATATTTTCAGGTTAAGTAACTAACTATAAGCAAAAGCTGAAAATGAATGGGTAAAGAAGTCAGCCCTTCCAAGTACTGCCCACTCCAGACGTTTAGTGGGCAGTACTTGGAAAGATTTTATGTGTTAGACCTTCAAAGAGCACCAACAAACATCAGAAGCGCACTATTCATGGAAAAATCCTGGGGAACAAAGGATGGAATATGTGTATCAAACAATAATTTTACAATTTGATATAGAACGGAGTTTGGAGAGCCAGGCAACCTTGAACTCTCTCAATACATACAGCACAGTGATTCTATTATAAGTTGGAGGGGATTAGCTCGGCACTGGGATACGTTTCAGATGTGCCTCAATAACAAAGGTATAGAGTTGCTCCAAAAAAGAGCCTTGGAAAAATGGGGAAGCAACTTATTACCCTTCCATTTTCTGGAAACAATCATCTTCTTTCTTCTGGATAGAGTTTACTTTTCTCTGTCATTCTTTATTTTCTCATCTCTTTATTCTCTCTTTTCATTGTTTCCATCAGCGCATTTTTTTGCTCCTGAAGCTTCCGTTTTTCCCACACTCTCCCCTGTCACACTGGTCGACCACAAAAATGCAGGACAGAGGAGAGTGTGAGGGGGGCTCTGGAATTCCACATGCAGAAGGTAAACACAGCAACTGCCAGGAAGACACACACACACACACACACACACGCACGCACGCACACACAAGCAAATACAGCTCACCACTCTATATCAGCCATTCTCTGCCTCACTAACTCCTTCTAGGACAGGTAAAGTTGGTCCAATGTGGCAACATGCTGAATGTAACGGATAGCAGAGTAAATGTTTAACTCAAGCCTGGCTGGAGTGAATGAGTCAAAATAACTAAAAAAATGAACTGCCAGATAGATTTGTTGTTGATCATTTGGAGTTAAACTCCCTTGTCGTGCCATTCCTCGTCTACATTAAACAAAACTGAAAAGCCCTCTGCCAGCATGCTTTAAACAAACAATCAGCCCTGATCACAAAGGCTTGCTGCTGTTGTGTAATTTGGATGGATGTTTCAGTAACATAGTCATAAAATTAGCAAGGGAAATCGCTGGCAGTTGAGCCCAGTTTCACCCCTTTTCTTTTTATTTTTCCTTCTGTACTCTTCACCTTATCTCCAAACCAAACAGGATTTAAATGGAGCCCAGAGCCCGGGCCCTTCCACTGAACCAGATTCTGTTTACAGTTCAGGTAGAAATCAGGACTGTGATGAGGTTGTTTACTGAACAGAAAGATACAGCCCACGGCCAAAAGGCTGGGAGCAGTACACTACACTCATATTCTGACTCTCATTAGCATTAGCCGTGTCCGCTTGAACTCCAGGATCCCATGAACCCTGTCTCCTTCCACGAGCTGGGGCCAAAACTGCCACCCCACTGCTCTTAATGTTTCGGAAAGTCCACAGGAACATTGTTTCATTCACCATTAAGTAGAAATACAGCAATTCACCTGGAAGACTTACTTTATTAGGCGCTTTGTTGCTGTTTTCCTGCCCTGTCCTTCCAGCGCACTGCTGGGTGGCTTTGGAGCAAAAGCCGGGCTAACATTGGTCTGGCTGTGGTTGGGGCTGGACCGAACATGTAAGCTGGACGGTGGGCAGCTGGAGGGTTTTGTGGATACCTGCGGGTGTGGACTGCTTGTCTGGTCATGAAACTGGATCTGCGAGGAGAAACAAGGAATCTCAATTAAAGTAAACGGCACAAGAGCAACATTTGAACAAACATTCTAACAAACTGGTGTGATTTGATCTAAACCTGTTCATTACTTGTTTAGCTTTATGTTTAGAGTCACTGTGCTGCACCTTCCCGTCGACTTTGACCAGCTTATCTGCACCCGCTTTTCTGTAGAAAAAAATCTACAGAATGTGCCACTTTTTTATTACATTAATCGTCAGAATAATCAATAGAATACTCGATTACTAAAATAATCATTAGTTGCCACCCTGGTGCAAATTATTTTAAACCCCCACATTTACACCCAAGAAATACTTGTTGAAAAACTCAGCATACATGGCAAGATCGGAAATATTGCTAACTATCCACCTCACATTTGTGCATGTTGCATAAAGGCCAAGGAGTTTATTTTTCATCTCATCTGACCAGAGCCCCTTCTTGGAAACTGCAGACAGAACATCTTTGGCTTTCTTTCAACAATGACTTTCTTTGTGCCAATCTTCCATAAGTGCCAAATTTGTTGAGTAATTAACTAAAATATTGTTCGGTCTGACAGATATGGATCTCTGAAATTCTCCAGTCACCTTACATATCATTTTTTGGTGAACAGCTATATCTCAGTAGGTTTGCAGTTGGGCCGTACACTATTCATTTTCTGGTGATAGATTGAACAAAATAAATAGGTTGAACAAAAAAGAGGTTCAAAACAGGTAGAGATAATTTCATCAGTCATTAATTTCTGTTGTTCCTAAAAAGAGTCTGTTCACTAATATCATTAGAAGAAGAAGGATTAATAATGAGCAGGAGGGGCCAAGTTGTTTGTACGTAATAAAAGACAAGAGGTCTCCAGAGGGAACTCCACAAAACTTGGATGAGAGGTGGAGCATGCATCCATGGGAGTAGTGTACTCTTAAGGACAAAATAAATCAAGCCGCTCCAAAAGTGGCCAGAGGAAGTGTAATCACATTTAGAATGGGTTAGTCATGGAAAATACTGTGGCCTCTGTTTATTAAGGTGAAGTATCAAAGTGCTTGGCATGGAAAAGTGCAGATATTAATGAAATACCATCCAGTATCAAAACAAGCTTAACATTTTTTGAAGTTGGCTGCACTGAAAAGCAAATTCCCCACATCATTTATTTGTTTATGGAAAAGCTCTTCAAAGGCTTGGGAAGGAGGAATATGCTGTTGTCTTTTTGACATAATACTTTAGAAGCACATTTTACTCGGTCCAAGCAGCAGTAGGGAATGCTTGCATACATTCTTTCCACATCTCATGCCCATGCTATTTTCTCTGCTGCTTTATACGGCTATCTAACATGCTAATGGTTTTCCAGTTTCTCAGAGTAGCCGATCAAAGGGCCAATGAGGTGACATGAAATATCTGATGTAATTCCTGTGTTGATAAATGAGAAGCTGGGTTTCCAGGTTGCAAGGCCTATGGCCACAATTCAGTTTGAGAGGGGCCAGGAAGGGCACCTTTCTTTGGCTGCCAGGTGGCCCAGGGCCAAGCCAGTGGAGGAGCCGAACAGTCTGCACCCAGTAACTGGAACGTGGACTGGAGTGCCGGAACAGATCCCCGTTTCTTTCTGTCTCTCCAACTAGCACCCATGAATACACATGAGCATTCACAATCAATAGAAAGCCTGTTTCTGCATCTTTAGTTGATCCAGAATAATCAATTATTTAAATTCTGTTCAGAAAAAAAAATGAGGCTATCGAAACAAAGTACGTTTGAATTAAAATACCAAAATCAATCATTAATGGAAGTAAAGAATGAACGCAGGAAGCTTACAAACTTCTGGATGACTCAACATTTGATCACTACCAAAGATTCTTGGAATCTCTTAAAGTGATTTTGATTAATATTTCTCCAGGCTTTCTGGAGATCTTTCAAATCTGCTTTGTGGCTGCTGGCTTGTTTTAATCATACAATCCCTTTCAAAATTATTCATACTCTTTGAACTATTTTGTGATGATTTTATTACTGATTTTAATTGACAGACCAACAATAAGAAGCACATCACTACTTAGTGGAAGCAGTTAACGTGGTTTCTGATTTTGTTCAAACGTATAATGCTGAAAAGTGTGATGTGGATATCCAATATATGAACCTCTTTAATCTGATACCTCAAAAGCAAATTACATCTGAAACTGAAGCAAAAGGAGGCTCTACAAAGTAAGAAAAAAAAGGTAAGATGAATTAGCATGAGCACACTCCTGCAACCCTCCTGCTTTTTGAAACAGCCACGTGAACACTTTTAAATTACAGCTTTCATGGCTGGTCAGATATAACTTCAAGTGTTTCTTGTTGCTAAATTACAATTGGTGACAATCATACACCAAAATTATATCCATGCTGCAAGGCCAAACAACTAAATGGAGCTCAAATTTGACATAAACTGGGCTGGTAAAACTGGAGATTCCATACAGTGTCTTACAAAACCATTCATCCCATTTAAATTTTTTATATTTTGACAAATTACGAAGACAAACTTCAATTTGTTATTAGGATATTTATATAATATCTTCACACAAGCTTGTGCGTAATTGAGACAAAGAAAAGACAAACATGACTTTTTAATTGAAAGGCTTTGACCAGCTTTCCCAAGTTGATGCTTAGTAGAACCACCTTTAGCTGTAATTAAAGGTCCAAAGTCAAGCTCTGTCAGACTAGTGCTTCTGTGACAAGCTATTTTCTCCTTCGGTCTACAATTTGCTACAATTTGACTTGGTCATTGTACCACATAAATATGCTTTGATCTAAACCACTCTATCATAGGTTGTATGTTTTGGGTTGTTGTTCTGCTGGAAGGTGAAACTTTGCCTCAAGTCGAACAAACCTCTGAAGTCTTCACAGAGCAGATAATGATACTGAGATTAAATTAACCAGGGGTGGACTCTATTTAGGAGTTAGTTTAGACAGTAATTGGTTGCGTGAAATTTAATTTAGGGATATCACGGGTTGAAAACTAATGCACACCGCACTTTTCAGATCTTATGTAGAGACGTTCTTACAGGTCATATTTTTGCACAAATTTATAGCCATCTATCACAACAAAACCGCCCCAAAAAATGGATTACAATTTGTGGTTTTAATATGAAATAATAACATAAAGTGTAGGGGTGTAAATACATGTGACACCACTGTGTTTGCTCTTCTTGACAGCATTATTCGCCTTCCCGTCAAAACCCAATGTAGAAGCTCAGCCAAGCAAAATAAACTTTGGTTAAGGACTAATGCTTGGCTTTCTGAGAATGAACTCCTGTTGAAAACGATGTTGCCACCAAACACCGTTTCGTAACGTGGTTTGGAAAAGGATTAGCAGAATGTGCGACTAGTGAAATATTTAAGAGTTTAATAGTTAAAAGATAATTTTGTAAAACGGTGATGTTAGCCAAAGCAATAGTTTGCATATAATAACCGTTAAAGTCCATCTGTTTTTCTCCTGCATATGTACCTGGTGTCTGGGATGGTCCCTGTCTAAAAACTGATGGGTCTTTAATCTCTGTTGTTGCAGCTGCTGGATAGCAAACTGCAGCTGGTAGCTTCCTTTGGTTGACTGACTGCTCTGCGTGGAGTTCAAGCCCATCACCACATTGGGGGCAGCCTGCGTCTGCGGTGGCCTGCGAGCAAAGATAAGCAGAAGTGAGAAAAACCATTTGAAACCAAGAAATCACACTGTGTTTGCAATATTCAAACCAGTGACGCCATATGAGTTAAATCTGAGTTCAATCAATGAGTTTGAATGTGTCCTTTGGTAGCCTTGGAGTAAGATTGTAGCTGCATCTTTTCTTAATTTTCCAACAAACAACAGATGTAACAGCAGGTAATAGAGGTCTGTATTTTTTGTCACTAATTTCAGAAAGTTAAACTCAGATTTAAGCTCATGTATTACATAGAATGAAATATTTCAAGCCTATATATCCTGACGTTATGATGATTATGGCTTACTAAAAACCCAAAATCCGCTGTCTAATTGTGAAAAAGAGAAATATTGTAAAATTATGGGGAAAACTGCTGACTTGACTGTTGATTGTTGACATCCCTCACAAGAAAGGTATGCCCAAAGGTTACTGCTAAAGACTGAGTGCTTTATCCAAGCAAGTTGCCTTCCACTCAACTTATATAAAGTTGAGTGGAAGGCAAAAATGTGCACCTGCAACAGGGACTTGCAGCCACAGACTTGCAGTAGCTTTACATTTCCGTTTAAAATATCTTTTATCTTTTGTAATATTTCATTTTCTGACACCCTAAATGTTATATTTTTATTATCTCCAGGCTGTAATCATCAAAATGAAATAATGTCTATATATCTCCCTTTATGTTTCACTTTCTGAGATGATTGACAAAAATTATTGTACTTTTTTGCAATATTAAATTTTCTTTTCTAGATGAATCTGTAAACTCTCATTTTCTTTGACAAGCCAGCTTTTAAGATCCTAACCAGTAGCTGAAAGGCCCACAGAAGCTCCAAATCAAAGTGAGCAGATCATGGTCAAAGCAGAGGACAAGGCTGTGGCAAGCAAGGGCCAAACTAAAAATCTTTGTTCTTAGCCTCAGTGCTCCTCTGGCTTCACGTCCCATTTACATTCCAAAGCCACAACCTGGAAAGAAAACTTTTTGACGAGCTACACGCGCTTGTAACTGGATTATTTGCCATTAGAATTAAACCTGCTTCAACCTTTTTTAATTCATTTTCCTCCTGGTAAAACAATGAAGTGACCAGCCAGCCCTTTAGACATGCTTAAATTGAGTCTATGTGGAGTCTGGTTTGCTGCTGTATATATATAACATCAGCCAAAAATAATGCCATAAAGGGATCTATTGGGAGCTGCAAGGAAGAATATAATACAGAGTGGGAGAAGGAGGAGAAAAAACGGGATACATGTACAGTTAAAGAAATGGGAGCCTCGGGGGTCTTAACAACAAAATGTTCTTGGAAATTCCTCCCATGCATGCAATAACATTTGTCCGTTGGTCCATAGTTAAAGAAAACACAGCAGACCTAAAATCACAATAGCGGCAATATTTTTAGACTTCAACTATGATAAACTCTAAAATTAGAATTCAGTTAATCTTGAACAACAATGCAAACTGTGGGATAATAATCTTGTGTCGCTCAAGTGAAAAAATATTCCTTGTCCTGAGCGGCCAAACAAAGACACAGGGGATCTTAAACTCATGTGAACATGCTATCCGCCCATGCATTTCTCAGTTCACATAATAGCTCATATATCGCAAAAACAACTGGTGTGACTAGGAGCCAGTGAAGATTTTTTTTTTTAAGCTTCTGGAAACAAAGGCTCGTCTGTGAACCCTATGAGGCCAGTTATTCTAAAACTCTTGGGGGACAAAAGAAGAATTTGTTCCTTGTTTACAGCAGTTATTTTCTCTAACTTGACTGCTGTTTGCACACTGGACCGCCATGTCCTTTAGCCCTGCTGTTTTATTAGCATACATTGCATCCATACCGCCCTATCACAGTAAGAGCATGAGCTTTTCTCGAGCTCACTTTCATCAGAGAACCAAATGTTGAGGACACCACAGAAACTTCTACACATATCGGGAATCTTAACAACAGGAGGAAGAGATTTTGTTCAGCACTGCAACCAATAAAATAAATAAAAAAAATAAAAATTAAAAAAAAAAACATTTGAAAGACAAAAACGGATTTCCATCTGATATTCTCATCACACCGTATCTGCAGAGCTCAGACTTTTTAGGACTAACCACTAATTTAGAGAGACTGTTCAGGAGTGTCAGTTTACTCCCTGCTGTGCTTGCCGTCTTCTAATTTGCTGATATAACTTACTGTTGAACAACAGAGCAGTACGGGAGCACATGTGCAGCATCAATCTAACTCGGAGTGAATGTGGGAAAATGGACCGTTTGAGATGACATCATGCCAGACTATCTCAAAGCTCTGCCTGGTCAGTGTAAACATCAGACGCCTCAAGACTGTGAGGGTATTTCCAGCCATTAATCAGTGTTTGTTTATAGAGCTTTCCTGCAACAACATGACACAGAGAAGAAACATCCTTGAAATGCGAAAAATGACCCGTATTTATGGTTTTGTTCAGTCTAATGATGCAAGGAATGCTTATATTGAAGCTGGAAGAAGCCTGAGAAATATAGGATTGGAGCCTACTAGTAGTCTGAAGTCCTAAACATCATTATATGTAGATCATCAGAGACGGCTGAAGGCTCTATGCCATACTATAAAAGGCAGAGACATACAAGCTTGGTAAACATGGTGGAAAAGTGTGGGAAAAATAACTCCATAGCCAGACTTCTTTACACAATACTGTCTATACATCCATTTATTCTGTATCTTTTCATTTAGTTAATTAATTAATTATATTTTTATGCATTTATTTTTCCATGCACCTACAAATCAGTTTCATGTCTGGTCTCTGAAATATTTGCAACTTTTATTGCATTGATTCATTTTACAATCTGTAGCATGCACCCCAAATTCAATTCTTTGTATAACCACATTTTGTTTTTGGAGCTATGCCTCTACCAGTTTTCTCAGTCAGTCTGTATGGAGATGATCTCTGAACATCAGTTTTCAAGTTTTGCCACAGGATTTATGCCTATGCTTTGACTAGACCATTCTAACACATGAATGTGATTTGTCCTGTATGTGGTGTCCTGAAACATTTAGGTGTACTTCTAGTGCAACACACCTGAATGCAATGATTAATCATTATTATGTAAGTAGGGATTGCACTCTTTAAGGGGTACTGAGTAATATTTCAAAGATAGTTGCTATCAGTTTTGTTCCAGAGGTGTTTATATCTGGTGGAACTACATCGACTCAGTGGAATTTCAGCTGTTCTTACCTAAAGGCTTCTCCTTCATAGAACCACATCTGTTACCAATCAGAGAGAATGGAACCTCTTTTTAAACTCAAAGGAACAGAGACATCAGGCCATTTTTTGTGGTACACTGACTCGCATCAAAGAATTCAGACACTTTTACAGCAGTTTTTCTGATTAGTCAGGAGAATGGGCGTTCAAAAAGGTCTTTTGAAATGTTACACCCTTGCAATACATCACAAGGCACTGAATTAAATTTAAACACCCTGTAAAAGTACAGTTTCTGAAGTTCTTGTTTTATAGAGCTGTAGAAAAAAGAACACTAACAAATGTCATATCACTAGCAATAAAAACGGATAAAATACTAAAAACATTTCACAATAGTTTTATTTGGCTAAACAATTAAAGACTGCCTAAAAGCAACTACTGACTGTAAAAGAAATCAGATATTGAAGTTGATTATAAACAACGAAGCCACTGGTGTTTCCAGTAAATCAAAGCCCTGAGAACTAATTGCTCAGGTTGCGCTGACCTTTTGTGTTGTCTGTCATTTTGACTGACAGGGTCAAATAAATAATCTATAATCTATTTTTTACCCATCAGTTTTTAAAATGACAATAGTAACATAGACAATTGCATGTAATGTCCATTAAATTTAATTCATATTCAACAAGAGAATTCACACAATGCCATCACACATCAAACAAATGAATACATGTAACTTTTTCTCCGCAGTGACAAAAACCACTGACTCTGGTTGCAGTGACTACATATGAACAATAAGATTAAACGATTGCACTTAAATTATGAACAATTCAACTGTTGTGGACAGAAAGCACAATCTCAACTTCCTCCTGGTCTGCATGGACCTGAATTATGCATTGGAGACAGGTATTACAAGCATCACTTAAGCTGAAGTTTTGTCCTGTAACTGGTGGGTTACCAGTGTGAATCCCGTTCTGCCCAGAATAAAATGCAGTTCACCATAAGTGTGTGAATGAATGACTGATTGCAGTGTAAACTGCTTTGGAGTCTTCTGACTTGATACAGTGCCATAGAAATGCAGGTAATTTACCTCTGGGGATGGTATGCTGCATGATTAATAGTTGTCCTGTCAACAGATTCAATCACTTGAGCCAAGGATCTTTGTAGCTACTCCAGAGCTACCATGGGCCTTTTCTTGTTGGTTGCATTGGACTTTAATTAGGCATATCAAAGTAAAAGGGGATGTATGTTAATGTATGGCCCTCTTTCATGTTCTACATGATTTATAAAACTTTTTACATATCGTGATTTTTACTAATCATTTATCGTTTTCCTTCAACTTCACAATTCTGCACTATTTTCTGTTGGTGCGTCACAAAATCCAAATGAAACACACTTTGCAATGCGGCTAAATAAGAAAAGGTTTAAGATATGAGCATGTTTGCAAGGTTTCGTGCAATCTCTGACATTTCACTGAAATCACTCTGTGGGGAGCTGGCTTGGTCTCTAAACGTCTGCCTACCATTTGTGTTTTTAAAGCACATCAGTTCACTTCATATAAAAGTACAAAGATGTCCGAGACCGGAAGTGAGGTTAACAGTGGCTGTGACAGGACGTGCTATATGATTGAACATCCTCTAATTGTCAGCACAAAGGATTTAGGCAAGACTTCTGAGAATGCTGATGCAGCATACCTGCTAGATCCCGGCAGCGGCACTTCAAAGAGCCACGCTGGCCTTTGAAACCCATCATACCTCACCCTTGTGGTCGTTAAAAAGAGCCAGTGTGCTTAACAGTTTCAGTATGTTTGGCACAAGCCATTGGTCCAAGTATAACAGACGAGAAAATTCAGTGTTTCATGAAACAGTGTGTATTAAATCAAAAACATTTGTAATTATATTAGATATTTCAGCACAATAAACACACATCCACACAAACATGGATTGCTTGATTAAAGAACATCTAAAAGACCATGAGGAAATAACATTTCTAAAACTCTGAGACCAAAAATGTGATCCCTGACAGCACTGGATCTCTCAAATGCTGATTTCTGTTTCTAGAGTATGGTTAGATGAAGCCATTTGCGAATAATAAATTCTATAAAAAGTCCCCTCTTGGTTGGTGGAAATAAAAACATTTGTAAAGGGGAAACGGCCAGACATTCCAGGAATACCCTGACAGCTCGATACATTTAAGGACTGGACTGGAAAACCAGAGTCAGAGATCAGGGCCAAGCTGTCTGAGGCACTGCCATTTACACTACCAGCAACAAAAAAAGTAAAAGTGGAGGCTGATCATGTGTACTATAGCATAGTATTCCTGGTCTATTACCATATACCATGACAGTTTGATTCTTTTTTTTTTCTTCTCACTGTAGCGTGACAGGAGTGAGAAAAGAGGAATTTCACTAGACACAGAGGTAAGACGTATTTTATGGGTACTCAGCAGCCAGTTGTTCTGAAGCGTTTCGACTATGAGTTTTTTGCTTTGGAACTTAGACATCTTTATATCTACCAAGGCCATTTTATGAGTGGGTTTCCATTACACAGGGCCTAAATCTGATCCTTCATGTCTATTACGTCCTCTGACGCTGAGCAGATTCTCTTCCTATGGTGATCTGAGGACCATCACCTCAACAGTGGAGTCCAGAATGTGATTAGAAACAGTTAAGCTGGACTAAAACAACGTTTATATAAATTCACATCAGTTACAATAGTTTAAAAGTCAAGGTTTGCCACTCTTAACTTAAAAGAAACGTACAGAATGGATTTCGTATGGACCTTAAATGAACTGAGCCAATCCAGACTTCAAGTAGCAGAAGAAAGGAAAGGGGGTGGTCTGACCAGGATTACAATTGTCTACCTAAAAACATAATTTTGCCAGTTTCAAAGTGGTTAACCTCTGAAAATTAACTAAAATCAGTTTTACTGAGAAGTTTGTAGTTGTTCATGGATATTTTATAATGACAGCCTCCAATGTAACCACACACAAGTAGCAGCTCCTCCGTTCAGACTTAAAATCGGTAGGAGGAGGCCGGGGTACCCAGAGAGAACCCACACTTCCATCAGGATAACTCCATACAAAAAAGAACCCAGGCCTTTCTTGCTGCAGCTGGACCACTGCCGGTCTTACTTTTAAAACTTTAACTTCATCTGTTAAGTCACTTAAAAAGTGTTGCTGTCTCAGTAGCATTAAGGAGTATAAACTGGGAGATGAAAGAAACAAAATGAAGGGGAAATTTTACCAATCAGAAATGTTTACCATCTTCCCACTGGTAAGTTTCAGGGCAAATTTCTACCTGTGTTTGTTTTCGCCCCGGTTACTGTAGCAAAAAAGCGCGGTGGAGGATCAGCTACCCTGGATGCCAAAAAGGTTCTGGCAGTGAAAACACAACTTCAATTACATAAAGAGAGCAACATTTTCCAGCACCAAGTTTCACCAAACTGCCTGGAGGGGCAATTCCTTCCCAAAGACCAACCAATTTTAATCTAATATTCTGTTAAAGACCATTAAACAGGCCTTTGGATTCTATTGACTGTGACCAAGTAGGCAGCTATAAAACACAAAAATCTCAGGACAGCAGTTTGGCCAAAGTGGAACATAACGTTTCATAGTTAAACAGCATCCTGATGCATGAAGGTAAAAGGAGGCTTCCTCAAACACATTTTAACATTTAAAGCTTCCCTACTGAATCTAAACAGCAAGAATAGTTCAGTACTATACATAAACACTGTATTTAAAGTCCATCAGGAGAAAGACATGATGTTTAACTTTCTGGTGATTGCATCTGACCTCATAAGGGATGCGTATCTGTGCGATGTCTCAGAGGACAGCAAATAAAACATAGCAAAATAAGCACAAGGCTAAAACTGGACCAAAAGCAACATCAAGGTTTTCTTAAGGTTGCAGAGTGCATGTTTGCTAAATATAAAACTTTGATAACATCGCAGATAACTTTGAAGTGCTTTTTAATTAAATATAAGCTACTAAAGAAGCCGAGCTTACAGTAGAAATAAACATTCCCATCAGAGCGAAGACACCAGACACCATGAAGGTGAAAGCAAGACTTCTCTACGCCTACTGTAACATTAACCATGGAGTCATTGGGGTTTTTTAGCAACTTGTGCGATACCAATAACACTCACTGAACACTTCATTTAATACATATGGAATCTGTTATTGTCTAATTTTGAATCAGTTTCTTGTTCTTACTAAGCAATAAGCTATTTTACTTCTGTAGTCCATCTCTTTAAAGTTTCAACATATTGTGTATTCAAAGATGGCATTTCAAACACTTCATTTTTAAAAAGAAGCTATTTGAGCTATTCTGCACAAATCCTCTACACTAACAACACTCTGTATGTTTTCTCATTTTTAGACTAAAAACCTGAGGGATGTTTGTACATCAGACATTTCTGAAATGCTCAGACCAGCATCATTATGACTTCTGAATCTATCGAGTTGCTTCTCTGTGATTGATTTCAGTCAGTTACAGACTGAAGACCTGTGATATAACGTATAAACAACATCAGTCCAAGGACAGATCCTTGAGGAACAACTGGATACAGCTTAAGCAATCACTAACATAAAGTGAAATATAAGCTGACACGCTTCTAACATTTTGGAAACAATTTCATAATTTTTTTTTTTTTTACAATAACCAATGTTGAAAGTGGTTACGAAGAGGATAAAAAGACTATAAAAAACAAAATATGTTAGATCACTATTACTATTAGTCATAACATGTCTGATTTCCCTTTGATAACCTTCTCCATACTCTGCAAAACTTACCCTGTACTGGCTAGATAGTCTTTTCCAGCTTGAGCAGTTCTCACAGGCTTGTGGATTGCAGCAGCTTTAGGGGTCAGTGTGTGACTCTCTCGGCCCACCACCTTGTTGGCCAGGTTCAGGTTGGTCAGCTGAACACAATAATACAGAGAAATAATCTTAATTGTATTGTACTTAAGCATGTTTTGTCTCATCAGCTTCTTTTTCAGTGCAAGCCATTGGTAACAATAAATCCTGTGTTTTAAGCTGTTGAGTTCCTCCCTCAGCTGACTGCCTTTATCTCTGGTATCTATGTGAAATGTATACACAGCACATGGCACAGCTAGTCTCTGTTTAACACTAAATCCAACCTTCACCTCGGCCTCCTCCATCCTTAGCAGGAACAGTAATCATGACTCTCCAGTCGAAATGTGCTTATAACCCAATCAGCCTCATCTCAGTGCTACTCTGTGGTCTCAGTGAAATATTACGGGAGTATTAATCATACATCATACCGTTGTGGTATTTTATTTACTTTATTTCCTCCTGTGCGCGAAATGTCCAATGGGAAAACTGTTGAGCTGCCAGGCCTTGTACGACATAAAAGAAAAATGTGTCAGTGTGTTGTTACACACCCACAGCGCTAGTTTACTTCAAAAGTTAGACAGGTCATATTCTTTCAAAGAAAGAAATCTAAATGGAGGAAATATAATACATTTGGTTGTGGATACTGTTTATATTCCTAAAGAGACAAAACGTAGGGATTCACAGAAACAATAAATGTTCTCTCAGGGGCTATCCATCTCTATCCTGCATCGTCCTCTTCTGTCATGTTTACGGGACTTTCTATTTATTTAAAACAAGGCAATCTTACAACAGTGGACATAAACAGACACACATGGTGAAAGGATCCACAATCATATTGTCGCATCACTGCACAGCAGCATGATGGAGATGGCGGCCATGCCTGGTTTTACTCAGTGTCAGTCTCTTTCTGTTTATATGGCCCTGCTTGAGAGTGAGTAATTACTTAAACCCTGAGGTCAACTGTGCAACGGAGTGTCGTTCGTGTTTACAAAGTTCTCCATTTAGCCCAGAAAGTGATTTAATGACTTAAATCGGAGCCTTAGAAAAATCTAAATGTTCTCTGAGCCCTATAAGTGCCAAAAACTGGACTATTTGACTAAAGCTTCTGCCATGGCCTGGATTAACTGCTCTTGTGAAACACAGCAAACAAGTTTCAGATAGAATGAAAAATGTACAGTCAGAAAGGAAGTCATAAAACCTGCACTCTGTGTGGTCTGGTGCCATCACAAAAAAAAAAAAAAAACACAAAACTCTTCACTGAAAAAAAAAATAAAGGGAGGCAAAAGAGGGAGGAAAGGTTTAGGGTCTCCCAAAGCCGAGGGCCAAACCATTGGAGAATATGGGAGAAGGTGGTGATGGAGCCAGCCAAGCTGCCACTCCCCTGCTCAGTGCCAATTTGCCACATTCCTCCATTTATAAGCATCAATTACCACAAAAAAAGTGGCTGCCTGTTAAGTATCAACAGAAATCACTCCCCCATGGTGCATCTGATAATGAGACCTCACACAGAGCCATGGCTTGATGCGGCTCACCGCTGTTTGGGCCAGCCAGCGTTAAACTTCAGTTCCAGACCCACCCCCACAGCTGCCCCAGCCCACAGACTGGAGGCGAGTTGAGGGCTGAAGGAGGAAGGTGTGCTGAAAGAGGCAGCAGACCTCCGCGGCTCCAACAGGTCTGCTGAAAGCATGAGCAACTACACGCCGCCCATCAGCATGGGGTCTAAGCCAGATTTACGCATCAACAAAGGAAAATATCAAAGACCTCACAGTGAGACTGACGATTCTTCTCTACATAAAACATTACACAGATTTCTTTTCTTGGAAAAAAAAAAAAAAAAACACCAGAGGGGTCAGCTAACAGCTGCTTAATATCTGCATAGCCTCTTGTACCGGCTGACAGAATGGATCCAATATCATACCTCAATCTTCTTAAACTTAGTTCCTGAGGTGCAGAACATTTCTGTTTCAGCAGACACTACATACGGTACAATTGCACATAAAATCTAAAACATTCTGAGACAGTTCCATCCATTTTCTGAACACCCTTGTCCCTCAGTGGGGTCGGGAGGGGTGCTGGTGCCTATCTCCAGCTAACGTTCCGGGCGAGAGGCGGGGTACATCCTGGACAGGTCGCCAGTCTGTCGCAGGGCAACACAGAGACACACAACCATGCGCACACACACACCTAGGGGCAATTTTAGACAGACCAATTAACCTAACAGTCATGTTTTTTGGACTGTGGGAGGAAACCGGAGTACCCGGAGAAAACCCACGCATGCACAGGGAGAACATGCAAACTCCATGCAGAAAGACCGGGGCCGGGAATCGAACCCAGAACCTTCTTGCTGCACAGCAACAGCTCTACCAACTGCGCCACTGTGCAGCCCTTCTGAGACAGTTATTCTGATTAATTGTGATTAATCAATTTAAATATTTTAAACAATCATTAATTGATTCAGAAATTGAGTAATCATTAATTACAGCATACAAACTCAAAAAAGCCATTTTCTGAGAGAAAAACAATAGTCAGGGCTGTAACTAAGCCAAAACTGTACAAAAAATCTATAAATTTTGCATTTAGGAACAAAAAACCCTTTGTAAATATGTTCCACACAGAGCTCCTCAGGTGGCAAAGTTTAAGCTTCATCTGATTCAAATTCTGTAAAAGCTCCAATTAAAAATCTTTTGCTATTTAGTTATTAATCAGCTGATCCAAACAATATGAACAGATATGAACAGATCAACCCTACACTGTATTGATGGTAAGCCAAGGAGAAAACATTGAACTTTTCACATGTTGATATTAGAAGGTTTTCTTTTTAGCTGCAGATGAATCCTTTGGTACAAATGATCAAGAGAACCTAAATTAAGTGCTAAAAATTGGGGGAGGTTTACGACATGGGATAAACCTCGGAAAGGAATTATATCATAATGTACTAACACAAAAGAGAAACCCACATGGTGTGTCAGCAGGTTGATGTGACTGGAGCTGGCATAGTGGCGAGCAACCTGCTTGTCAGCCAGTTTCTGCAGGGCTGAGATGAATGCTTGCTGATTTGACTGGGCTTGGGCAGACAAAGATTGCAAGTCCCTCAAAGTCCCCTCTGAGTTAGACTTGGGCTTGGAACGGCTCCTGTACATCCCTAAAATGAACAGAAACAAGGGTGAGGACATCACATCAATTTAGTTGTGAAAGCCACATGCAACAGAACTTCGATTACCTTGGTGTGCTGAGGTAGGTCTGGAGAACGTCTGGCTGTAGATGGGCATGGCACTCAGTACTGCAAATGTAGTTTTGGAGTTGGTTGTGGGTGTAGTAACAGACTGAATCTTCCTCAAAGCCTGGCTTGGTGGCACAGCAGAAGCTCCATTAGAGGCGGTAGATGCGGGTGTCCGATTCACTTTTGGAGGCTGCGTGATGACGGGGGCAGAGGTGTATGCGGGAGGATCGGAAAGAGTTTCCGAATGGCAAAAGTTAGACTTGGCCAAGGACTGTGCGTAAGACGGTGGCTGCGGAGGTGGAGGCGGTGGGGGGCAGTGAAGAGGAATGGATTTTGTAGTAGGAGAGCAGTGCTGCGGATGAATGTTTGCACAGTCTGAACTCGGAGAAAAACCGGAGCAGTGCTGAGACGACCGGACATCTGGTTGAGTTTTACTGGCTGTAACCTCAGCCTGTTGGTCTGAATGCAGCACAAGCAATTGAGTCTCAGAGTATTTGACGTTTGGGTCACTGCAGACTTTCCCTGCAGAGAGTGAGGACTCTGAAGCTCTGGAGTCTTCTTTGGTCACAGGCAAAGCTATTTAAAGGGGAAAGAAAGCCCAAGCTGTGTTATCATTAGTCACTCATTTCTCTACTCTGGCGGACACTATGATCCCACACTGAGTCCTAATCATTCGATGGCTGACCTGTCCATCATCTCACATGACTCTTATTTTTATTTTTAAATTGTTCTTTAATATCACAAGATAATGTAAAAAATAAAACTACTGTAAACCAGAAATGTGAAGAAAAAAAAACATATGGAGCTTACTTTTAGAATTTGCCCTGCTGCCTGAATCCTGAGCCTTGACACTTCTAACTTTATTTCCTAAGAAGACGTTGGCTGATTTATTTCTATGTGTATAATATGTCAGCACTTCCTCCAGATCGTTCTCACTGTGGAAAAAAAAGACATTAAAATAAATTAGGCCACTTAGCTCATATTACCATGTATTTTGACAAGCCAAAGTATTCATACCCCTTGTCACGTTTTCATGTTCTAAAAACACTAACTTCGTTTTATTTTACTGGGATTTTGTGACAAAGAAAGTAGCATACAACTTTGAAGTAGAAACACACATTCATTCCAACAAGTTTTACAATTGTGTGTTTGTATACATAAGATTTCATTTATAGCATTCCAATTGATGAACCTTCACACACGTCTGTTTTGGAGCTCCTAATGAGTTTACTTTCAAGACTTTTCTCTATTTATCTCCACCCAACTTCTCATTAACTTTGACCAGCTTCACAGTTTCTGCTGGAATGAAGCATCCCCACAGAATGATGCTGCCACTACCATTTTCCACATTTGGGAACAACGGATTGAGGGAGATCTGCTATTTTTCTACCACACGGTGTGTTCTGAATGAAGGCCAAAGTTCAATTTTGGTTTCATTTTCCACATGTTTGCAAAGTTCCCTACATGGTTTATGGCAGACTGGTGTTCTTATAGGTTTCTTTCAACAATATATTTCTCTTGCCACTCTTCATATAATTTGTGGAGTGCATGACTAATGGCTATCCTGTCAACAGATTCTTCCAGATGAGCCGTGGATCTCTGCATTTCTCCTAAAGTTACCAAGGGTTTCTTTTCTGCTTCATAAACTAACACGCCTTGCAATCGCCTTGGATGATTGAATGAGCAGAGCTCCAAAGCTTGGGGAACAGTTGTGAAAGCACCAACTCTGCTTTAAACTTTGGTCCTGACCTTTCGGCTGTGTATTCATGTTTTTTCGCACACTAATGTTCTCTAAAATACCTTGAACTACTGCTTACGGCAATTAGTTATGCAAGATTCTAGCTTGGGGTATACAAAAAAAGCGCACATTTTTCAAGTTTGTAGAAAATGTTGAAAACCATGTGGGGTTTTTTCCACTTCACAATTGTACATTGTGTTGTATTAGTCTATCACATAAAATAATAATAGAATTCATTAAAGTTTGTGAATGTAAGGTGAGAAAATCTGGGAAGGTTCAAGCAGTATGACTACTATTGCGAAATACTGTAGAAGTACACCGGTGGAAAGCCAAGCAATGAATGAAGGAGGTCTTTAGTGGGTTTTGAAACCCACTAAAAGACTCACAAACCTTGCTTCTGTAATGTACTCTTGAAATACACTCTCGTTAACACAATGCTCCTCTTCGCCACTTTCCTGCTTTGACATCAACTCAGTTTCCTGTAAAAGAGAAAGGAAAGCAGAAGGCAGCTGGTCTCAGTTATCTGAGCATGAATCTCCTGAGTTTCAGTCCCTCATCAGGACAAAATGCTGTGATTAAACCGAATTATTGCATGAAGTACCTTATTGTAACAGTGGATGAACTCTCCTAACTGGAAGGACAGGATGCGTCTGCGATCTTGGAGTGGTAACTGGTGATTGGGCAACACAATGTTTATGTCTTGTTGAAGGTTAATGGCAGCTCTTTTCAAGAATCGTATCACAAGCTCCTGTCCAGACAAATAAAATATATGTAAATTATCTTAGCACTGCTAAGCAGAAATACTGATTCATCATAGTCTGCTTTTACATATACCATTTGCTTTAGTTCTTCAAAAAATAAAAAATAAAAAAGAGTCCACCCCAATTTAACTGATTTTGTTTGAGGTCACTGATGATGTATACTGAAGACTTTCCAGTCAGACTGCCTCTTACACTCCACGTTTTCCTTCACTGTGGCCACAAATGTCTAATACACATTTCAGCTACGTAGCACAAATGACTAAATAATTACAATGGAAATTCATAGTTAGGAAACAATGCTTTGGAGTGTTCCACCAATTCTACTTAAACTAAAAAATAACATGGGGAGAGAGGTAAGAACGCATGAGTAAAACAGAATAGAACTCATTTATTCTGTTCTACAGAATAAATGAGAATAAATGTTTTATAGAACTTTTAAAAATATATACATAATATTTCAAATTTCAAATAGAGGTACAGAGTACAGACAAAAACAGCAGAACAACACAACAGTGTCAGGACAAGGCACACAAGCTAATAACGTTAATGTTGGCATATCTGTCTATCAATGAAACTTTACCATCTGGTCGTTGTCGTCGTCTGGCCAGGTTGGGATAGAGTTGGTTTTGCTCTCAACTAAAAGCCTGCACTGGACTCGCTGAAGGTAAGAGGAAAAGGCCATCCGAGCCTGCACTTTGCTGAAGATAAAGCAGAGAGATGAAAACCATTTAAAATGGTAAAGTACTTAATTAAGAGAAAGCAGTTAATTTTTATCTTTGCAAAGACATGATATGTTGAGGTGCTGGTATGCTCCAGGAGCTCCTCTTAATCTCTGTAAACGAAAAGCACAGATGCCAAATACTGACATCAAATTCAGATTACTTTTTTAACTATGGTTGATTGTAGCTTCAGGACAGCAGCCAGGAAGTACGAAGTAACTCCGGAGGAGCTACAGAGGTCCACAGCTCAGGTTGGATAATATCTTAATAGAACACCTGTTAGCAGTCGACCCCACAAAGCTGGCCTTTGTGAAAGAGTGGCAAGAAAAAGCCATTTTGCAAGAGAAGAGAGCACATCACCCTGAACACTTGTTTCAAGATGGATCGAGCAGACTTGGAAGATAACATGTTTAGTTCTAATGACTTGAGACCAACTTTCTACAGAGTTCTGCTAATGACGTAATTATTTGATTCAGGTGTGTTGAAGAAGAGACAAACCATCCCTTGGAAACTGGAGATCGATGCCTGTAATTTAAATCAAAGCATATTCAACTGTCCAGTCCATGTCTAGACTTTGCGTTCACACATATTAATCAATTAGTTTCACTCAATTAGACTCACAGAATACACGTGGAAAATTTCTTCTCAAAAAGTTTAACTGTAAATAGTGGTTAAAAGAATGCAAAGATGTAATGATTATATTATTTCTGGCATTTTGTAGTTTTCATTCAATAAAGGTGTGTTTTTACTGGAGTCTACGATCAAGTACAAACACTGACAACAAGAGACTTCACTTAAATTCTCAATTATATCATCTAAGGAACTAAAAAAACTATTGAACTATAAGATAAATATAGTATTACTTTCTACCAAAAGTGGCTAAAATGTTTCAGACAGGTCAGCTTATCAAGAGAACTGACAGAAAACAGTATATTTTAAAATAAAATCCCTTGAAACACAAACAGTCATGTGCTATTAGATGATCATTTCCCAGCTTCATACACTCTCTAAGAAATCCCATAGATTTTTCACCAAACTCAGACTTGTTATTGTAAGACTTTGCCGGGTTATAATATCAAGGAAACATTTAAAATCATCAGGAGACTGTAGTCTTGGAAACAAATATGCAGGAAACTACAGTTCATAGTGTTTGCATATGACCTCCTGTAGAACTCATTAAAAGTCAAAAGGCTGGAAAACTTTTATATTGGAACTTGTAAAAACCTAAAAGATTAGATAAACACATTCTGCACACAGCACCGCATAACTGGAAAACCACATCATATAATTTAACTGCAAAGTTATTAAAAAATTAAGAAGGTACAGTTGTTCTGTAAATAAACATTGATCCATACACCCATTTCTGTACACATTCTCTCCAGGGTGGAAAGGGGACTGGTGGCTGTCTCAAGCAGCCAAAGGGCAGGGTACAGCCTGAACAGTTCAGCTTTCCAGCACAGGGCAACACAGAGGCAAAAAGCACAAACAAACACGCACAGGCACACTCACCCAAACCTAGGGACTGTTTCTAGAAAACGATTATGCTTACATATCTTGGACAAGCTGGGGTACCTGAATGGAATACAGGCATGCACAGGAAGAGCATGCAACTGAGAAAAGGCTCATAAGTATTAATTGAATTTAGAAACAGAGCTAAGAACTGCTCCACCATGCAGCCTACAAACATAAATCTAGGAGTTGTTGCATGGTAGTGGCAGCAACGTGCTGTGGAGATGCAAAATTTTAACTAAGAATAAGTGCCAAGACTTGAAAATTTATATTCCAAGACTTTTCATATACTCTAACTGAGCCAGAGCTACTTTGCAAAGAAAATGGGCCATAATCTCAGCTTCCAGAAGCACAAACCTGGTAGAGACCATATAGGCTCTACCAGCTGAAGGCCTAGTGTGGACATGTCCCCACCAACTCTGGCCTGAAGTTGACAGTCCCCATCTATATTTCACACACATTTTTTCCTTTATGTGCCTGCATCTATTTATGGACAGTAACTCCGCAGTAGCTGTGCACTATGTCCAAAGCTTTAGCAGCCAGTTAATGATTTTTAGCATTCCTTTGTAAAAGGTAAATGGCAAGTTTACTCAGTGATCCTGTAGATTCGATGTCACGTGACTTACTATGCACGGCAGTGCGCCACATGCGCTGCTGCTTTGTACTGAGTGGGAGTAAAGGTGGTTTGGAAAATGACAAACACAAAGAATCTGAAAAAGGGACGCAATGTTTTGCTATGCCTGCAAGATATACAGGTCCAAGGGAATCACATTTCATAGGTAAGTAAAAAGTTTTAATTTAATGTATATATATATATAAAGAAAGTGGGGAGTAGGTTAACTATGCTATAGCTCGACTTCGACAACCTTAACATCAGTTCAACATGTTTAGGTTCAGTTAGCACAAAAATAAGGCAACCGATACATCTACTTTCTGACAGATTATCAGTAGAGCAGGTGTTTAAATTAGCTAAGCAACCACGAGTGTTCAGACGATTACTTCTTAGTTACTGCAAAATAAACACTAAGCCTGAAAACAAAACACATAAAACTGTAACAGGCTGAATGTTCTGTTTTTACGTACTTTTGGTGTGGGAAATGTTTTTGTGCTTTTTTGTGCTTTCTAATGTTAATTCCTGATACACTTGAACGTAATCTTTGCTCTGAGGTCCAGCTCTGTTGATTGCTAAGTTGTCATTCCAACGGTTTTGCATTTGATGTTAAGTACAGAAATATGGACAGCATCAGCATCACATGTGAGACAGAAAAAGATGTGAAAATGAATTAAGACCTGCCTTATTGTATAATTTTATAGTAAAGAAATAAGTTTGCTATGTTAACGACACATATCTCATTCAACAGGGCACATATTTATGCCAATTCAGAATCACATGATTGAAAAATACAAAGTTTGCACTGACAAGGATTCATTTGACTTGCGCAGAAAATGTTCATTCAGTTTTTTTTTTTTTTAAATTCCTTAACATTTTGATTGTTACAAAATCTACTGTTGATGTTTTTTAAGCACTTCATGTATTCGGGCAACAAAAGGCAACTATATTATTGTGATAATTCTTCACAAAAAATGTTACTGAATTGTGTAACTATTTTTCAACTGTAGGCAAGCATTGAGCAAATATACAGACTCACTCCATTACATAGAATGACTGAAAAGTAAAATTTTTACCAATTACATCACTAAGTAAAAGACATTATATAGATCTTTAACATCTTTATGTCTCTTTGTGTATTTAACACCAGCAGAAAGGTTATTTTCAAAAGATACGATTAATCTGACAAGCCTCATCAGGTTGTATATCCTAATTTATTGAATATTGGATATAAGACTATATGGGAGTCACATTCACATTAAAAATGCCTTCAGGTCACATAACTGTGGTGCATCAGACCCATCCATACTCTCCTTCTCCACAATGCGTCCCCACCAAGTTTCAACACAAAGTAACATCCTTTACTTTCTTCAAAATGTTAAAAATGTATTCAAGGCATATAAATACTTGCAATGTAAGGCTCACCTTCTTCCTTGAACACCATCTCTAGTCAGAGCGAGTTTATAAACATTCTTTTGAAATGTGAAATATAAGAGCAGTATCCAACACTAACATTAGCCCAGAATATAGACTGACCTGAGGTCCCGCCCCTGCTGAAGGACGTTCAGGAGGTTGACTGCGGGCCTGGCATTTTGCACGGCTGCGTCTGAGCTGGACTCAGGTTTGTTGTGGCTTTGCTCCAGTGGTGTGGCCGCTTGTTTACTTTGCTCCATTACCAAAACCTTGAGCGGGAGTGGCTCAAGAGGTTGTTTCACCTCCTCGATTTCCTCCTGAGAACACTCTTCGGTCTCCGGGCTTCTGTTTTCAGCCAGGAAGGCCTTGGATTCCTTCCCTGAAGTGTGCGGCAGTGCAAGAAAAGACAAATGTCAGTTACATCACAGGCATTCGGGATAAAACGCGCATACGCTCAGAAAGGGCTTTTTATTGTTGCTGCGAAGAAATGAACTCATTCCGAGTCATTTTTGGCCAACCTTACCATGACACAGGGGAGTTATTTATTGAAACCAAAAGTGCTGTAACATGTTATGTTGTTCTACTTAACTCCACACACAGTAACATGCAGAATACATCAGACCTACTCCGTTTTTTTCTCCTCGTAGCAGTGTGATGACTCAGGTGGCGCTCTTTCCTTTTTTGTGCTTCCAGAGACAGCAGCTTCCTCTCATACTGAACAACGTGACGGCCACGAATTGTGTCCGCCATCAGGTGAGTGTTCCTGTTCATGGGTCTGGCAACAGAACAGCATGTGGGGCATTGTTATTTGGATTTGGATCATTCAACAATTAGAAAGGAGGAAGATACTTCTTTTAAATTCCAAGCCGCTTGTCAAAAACACTAAACTATTGTGTAGCTTCTCCTGAAGTATGATGATCCAAAACAAAGAAGATGAATAACAAACAGCAACATCTAGCGGGTTGAAGCAGTAACCAACCAGTCTGATTACCTAACAAATATGTAAAATAGAAGACTTAAAACAAAACTAAACAAAATAACCTAAATGGGGGCTGCTTTACTAAAATAAAAATGGGTTCCTCACTAAGCATTAATTGTCTACCACTCTTTTCTTTCCTGTCACCAAATCAACACCAGAGTGCTGAGCAGACACGAGGAACATGTTGGAAAAGCTGCTTCATCTCTTTAAGAATTCCTCTAACCTGTGCAATCAAAGTATAAAATACAAACATGAGAGAATCCAAGCTTTTCCATAAGCCGAAGGAAAGATGTATTCCTGCCTTCCAACCGCAATGGGAATGCTTACCTTCCATGGAAAAGTCGCTTTGCCAGCAAGGAGTTCAGTGACGGCTTGGACTCCAGATATGCTCTGACAGAAAGAGGTGGAAAAACAAATACAATTCAAAATAGTGTTCATCTTTTTCAAGCCTTAAGTTCAATGTGTTTTTAGAAATGTCATAAAATTCAGTTTTTAGGACATCTATGGATGAAATCCAGCAAAATAACCTGAAATAGACTTTCCTTTATATAATTTTTGTCGAGCTTGGGATTAATTCCTGCTCTGACCTTGTTGTTCTTCCAGCAATTGGCCGTTTTTGAGTCTGCATACTCAAGTTAACAATTAATTGATTGCTGAAATAGCTGATAATTAGGTCAATAATCGATTGAAATAATTAATCAGGTTTATTGTTTCAGCCCTAATTCTGACATTAAATAATTGTGATCCTGAAAGATATCACTTTTTTTTTTTTACATATAAAGACTATGCTCCTTTATCTTTAATGTTTTTGGTTACAGTTACGGGGATCCAAACACAAACGGATAGATGGATTGTTTTTTAACTCTATTTGGTTTTCGATACATTGGTCAAGCTCTGAACTTTTCCAGGATGTGTAGGATCCCTGGTTTGACTTTATTTGTGCAGATTATCCTAAATTATCTTGAATTTCCATGTTATCAGGGGACTGTAACAAACAGCTTGAGGCCTTTTAAGGTATCTGCCTGTTCTTTTCTAGCTCTAACTACCCATAAAGCTCCCATGTATCCTGGGTGGGGAAGATTCTTATGAAACCCCCTCTTCTCTCATACTCCTCCCTTATCCTCCTCAGCACTTTGATCTACATTCAAGAGAAAAAGAAAAAAACATGATGTATTAAAAAGGATGCCATATTTTATTAAGACAGTGCATGAAAGTCAGCGTGGCCTCTGCTGCTTTCCTGACAACAACTAACGCCCTGCCTTACCTCCTCAGTAGTCAGGTTCAGAGTGCTCTCTTCTAGACTTTTAGTTTTTTGCTTGTCGCCATTTGTTTCCGAACTAACGGCTGATACAGTCCTGTGCTGTAAAGAAATAAGAACAGGAACATAATTAATGCCCAATGTTAAAAATTATCTATATTTAGCCCTAAAGGATGTTAAGGTTCAGTCTTGTAGAAGAAGTATAATTAACTACTATGACTAAAACATAATTCCTTTGCATCTACATATTTAACTTCCATTTATGAATGAAAAATGTGCAAACTATGCCACAGGCAACAAGAGTTTCGTTTTTTTTTTCTCTCTCTCTCTTCTCCCTGTGACAGAAATAGCACATTTTTGCAATGCATTGGCATTCCGGTTGGCCCCTCTGACTGACAACTTTGGCATGCAGTTTGGGACAGCGGCCAGTAAGCTGGGCACAACCCCACAGGATCGCATACGTAATTTGTCATCTAAATAGCAGAGGGATTATGTTTAATTTGCCTGATGCGGCTGGAGGGTTGTAAAGGCAGCCAAACAGTGACATGGCCTAATCCCACAGCAAAAGTTTCAACTGTTAAAGAGTGAAATGGAAGAACAGGTTCCCTGCAGGCCCAATGTTCTCACAAAGCCTCTGTGACAGCTATGGTGTGGTTTTGCGCCATGTATGGAGTGCATGCCTCGAAAAAATAATTTACTCGAATGTTTACAAATGTTGTCACATGGCAATCACACAATTCAATGAATTTTACTCGGATTCCATGTGACAGAGCGACACAATGTTGTGCATAACTGTGACGTAGATGAAAAAGAAAAAAAAAACAACTTTTCAATATATTCTTCATATGCATTTGAAAATCTCAGAAGTTTGTACCAAGCCCATCCAAACTACTACTTTACAGGAACCACTGACATTACAGCTGCATGTGACTCGGGATAACTTGTGACCAGACTGAGTTTGAGACTTTTTAGCCCACTCTGTCACAGTCAGATTGGATGGAGAGCATCTGTAAACATCAACTTTTAAACCATTCAAAATTACCATGGTCATTTTGGCTATTTTACTCAATAATGCTCTCCTTGCGTAACCAGGTTTGCAGTTGTGCCATAATGTTTCAAATACTAGATGGGTTTAACAGTGTTTCATGAGACATTCAAAACTTGGGATATTGTTATATAATTTAACTTTGCTTTCTCCACAACTTGCCCTTCTTGGTGTATCTCGAGAGCTTCACAGAATAGCTGTATTTATACTAATATTAAATTACATGCAAATGAACTCGGGTTGTCAAAAAAAATCTATAATTTCCCTCCACTTCACAATTTATGTATGACTTTGTGTAGTCTATCACAAAAAATTCCAATAAAACGTAAAATTTGACGCTACGGCATGGTAAAACATGGAATGGGTCAAGGAGTTCACATTATTTGCAAGAACTGAACATCTGAGATTCTGCATAGTTAAGTCCTTTTGAGGCCAGTGGTGCATTGCAGCATGAGCCTTTTACTTGTAAAGGGCCACTTTGCTAATGTAATGAAAAGTCCTAGTGAAAACGCAGCATTAGGAATCAATAGAAGCCATCTGTCTGTCACAGTGAAAAATTGTTAAGCCACATAATTAAATCAAGAAAAAACCAGCAAGTAGTTTTTTAGCAGCGAAGTAACAAGCATCAGGGAATTACAAGGGGGGGAAAAAAACAAAAGATTAATATGTCTGAGACCGAATAAAACCAGCTTGCTCTGCAAAGTGGTTGTTGGAGCAAAACAACACTTCTGCATGAGGACATTTGTGTTACCCTTAAGTCTTTACAAAAGGCACATGACAACACACAAACCGCATCGACACGCCACTGTAAAACATTGTCACTATGCGTCTAAATGAGCTCCTTAACACAACATGAGGTGGAGCAGAAATCTGTCTGCATTAGTAATCTTCCTCCAGCAGTGCTGCACCACAACTTGATGCAGTAGTCAAGGAGAGGAGCCAAGCGAATTAGCTGTCGTGGCATCATTAGGCAACACGACCCGAAGAGAACATTAGTCATTTGATTAGAAATGATTAAAAAAACTAAGGCACAGGGTTTTCAGCTTTTTCAAGCTGATGTCACTCAAACACTTTAATTACATTAGCAGTTGTTTTGCATTACAGTACATTTTCCAGGAGGGTGAGGGAAGAGCTCAGTGGCAGCTGAAGGAATGTACTGTTTTATCCCCCTGTTGCTGCATGAGGACAAAATGCGGTGCGACCCAAGGAAGGGTGAATGAGTGCAAAGCTTTGACATCCTCTACCTGCAGCCTTGGTCCCCCCTTCTTGTCGATCGTGAATCGATCTGAACGAGGCTGTTTCAACAGAGGGTCTTGACCCACAAGGCCTGCAAAGAGAGAGAAACTGGTTTTATTCGAGTGTCGGCACCATAATCTTCAAAAAATAAAAAAAGATAGAAAGCAAAACGGGGTGGATAGAGTTTTAAAATCACAATATCAAAGTTAGAAGAACACCTAAAAATTTGTGCATACTATCACCTGGCTAGTTTTCACCCCTAGGTTTTATTTAGAGAAGTAAAAAGCCAGCAGCTAGCGCTGTTAAACAGTTAACAGTTCCATATTTGGTCAATGTATGTTATTGGGATTTCACGTTATAGACCAACACAAAGTAGTGTCCAACTATAAAGTGGAATGAAATTTTTTATTTTCTTTAAGAATAATGCCGCTCATTATGGCAGCATGTTGGAGTAGCTCTGTTACCTCAGTTCTGATTTGCAAATTTTTTGTCAATTATTTTTGGTTGAGGCATCTCAAGTTTGGATGAGAGAAAAAGAGGAACCATTTCGTTCGTTCATCATAATATCCTCTACTCCAATGTTTCTCTGCCAAAGTTTCTGACTATACGACTAGAGAGAGATTTAAAGAGAAGCAGTAAAAGAAAGTGAAGTGGATTAGCAGTGCTTGCCAACAACTGATGGTGTTAAGTAGGACATGTTGCTGTGGAATATTGTCTCTGCTGCCCGGATACTGAACTGTTAGCATATCATTACAGCAACACCAATATGTCATACAGCAACACTCTTCAGTCATAGGCCTCCTCAGATTTATTGCAACACTGACTGCTACTGGAGATCCTTCCTGCCCACAGCGTCACCATCTAAAATGACACTTTTAAGATACTTGCATGATACGAATTACAATATTTAATTTCCCTTTGGGATAAATAAAGCATTTTTTAAATTAAATCTGAATTGAATTGGAAAGATCTTTTAAAAATATTTACCCAATACAAATCTGACCAGCATCCCAGCAGTACATTTTTACCAAAAACAGTGTGTTCAGGGCTGGTTTTCTTCCACATGTAGTGACTTCATCTAGTTTGTAGTGACTTCATCTAGTTGTCCAGTCAACAGTTTCTCTGTTTTGACCTCTGAATCTCTGCAGCTCCTAACTCACTGCTTTGTGCTGAGCCGTCACATAAAACCCCAATAAAATACATAGACGTTTGAAAATCCGAATGAGTGATAAGCCTTTTATAAGGCAGCATATAAAAACAAACACAGGGTCAAAGAAGTGAAGAAAATCCTAATATTCCACATTTATTTACAGAAAACAGCCAATGAATGAAGTGCATCACATTCATCTCATCTCAGCAAAGTGTTCCCACCCTGACGAAAATATTTACGAGTTTAATTTTATTGTTTATTGCTTCCCACACCCTCCCAAAGCCCAGTGAACAGCTGAATAAATTTGTTTGTCATATCTTGCACTCTTATATGAACTGAATAAAGCCTATTGACAGCTTTGAGCTCGAGGCTGTTTGTTCTGCCTCGTTCGAGCCGTCAGGCATCAGGCCCCTGTCATGCTCTTGCCTAAACACTGCAATTATTGCAAACACTGGTGACATGGAGTTGACAGCTACACACAGTCAGGGAATGAATGCTAATGGAATGCTGTCATTATTTACAGGACTGGGATGCAGCCCAAGCGCTATCAGCCAACAGCGACTTTGTTTGGTACATAATAGATGTGCTATGTTTTACATGCCACTGCTCATTTTCTCCAGACCCGCAAGGAACGTCTCAGTCCAAAGATAACTGGCAATTTATGATTCTACTCTTTCATTTAATGAGCCAGAGGGGAGAGTTTCAAGCCACAGCATGGCCCAGCATATCACACACACACACACACACACACACACACACATTTGGGCATGCACAAGTGTACACATGCACATACTAGCCATTCCTCTAATATCATTAGCCTGGGACCACAGATAAACTTAAGAGCTCATAATATTTATAGAAGTCATAAGTGGGCAGAGGATAACCTGAATAGCAATAAGCGAGGAATTACATGATATTATACATTCTAAGCAACATGTTTTCACACCTGAATTGTCAGTAGTAACAGATCTAACATGGTTTAGTAATTCTTTGAATGAAAACATCAAATCAAGAATAGCGGGAACCTAAGACCCTAAATAGGATAAATATGGAAAAAAATGAATGAAGAAAGGAGGCATCGTAGATAGACCTTTTATCTGAGCCTTGGGCTCAGGCTTAATGACAATTTAAAAAAATATTCAGGCATGTGTAGGCAATTTGATCTGAGTGTAATTTAATGCTAATTAATAAACGTTGCGGTTTAATATTTCAACACAGGAATGCTTCCTTTAAAGCCATGCAGCTTTTTTTAAAGCTGTTTGCGCAAACTCAGCTTAAGAGTGGAATGCTGGAAAACATTAGACAATACGCAACTCTCTCAAACAGCTTGAAACCTGCACACCACAAGAATGACTGACCAGCAGCAAAGTCAATAGGGTGGTGAATAAAAACAAACGATGTATAATAATGACAACATTCTGATTTAGTGTTAAGAACGAAAGTCTGAACTGTGCCTGAAGCCACGGTGCCTCATACTTTTTGAACTTTTCACATCACAACCCAAAATCTGTTGGAACTGTGACAAATCAGTACATACATGTAAGGTGGAAGGAAAAAAAAACATTATTTAATTTTACAAATACATCTGAAAGTGTGGTATGCGTATGTATTTCACATTTCTATAATTAGAGGAGTTAAGCGTGCTGTGGTGGCTCTGGAGGAGGTGGAGAAATCCATACATAATGAATTTGTCAACAAAACAGCTATTAGTCATGCACTCTAAAAGTCTGGGATTTATGGAATAAATTCCCAATTGAAAAGAAGTAGTACAAAGTCTCCTTATTGCCACAAACCATGCAGTTTCATAATGTTGCCTAAGAACCTTTGAGGGCTTCATAGCTTAGCTGTATTTACTTAAAGATTACATTAGACAGAGGTGGAGTTTATGTCCCAATTATGTGGCTTAGTTGATATATGTACTGTATTTAGGGGTATCAGAGTAAAAGAGTTGAATACAATGTCATGATTGTATTTTTTGGGGAGTTTTTTGTAAAAAAAAATTGTGAAACAAAAATTAGATCTTAGTTTCCACACACCACATTTATACACGGCTTAGGGTTGTTTTTGTAATACAATCATAGTCATCACACTTTGAAGTTTGTGGTTGAAACTAAAAATTTTAGAAAAGTTGAACAGGTGTGAATACTTTTGGAGGTAGTATGCGTGCATCATGATCCACACATCAATCACTCAATCAATCAATCAATCAAATTGTATTTGCATAGCACCTTTCAGCAACAAGGCATTTCAAAGTGTTTTGAAATGCCTCGGTTCGTCAAGATGAATTACTAGTGGAAAACCATGAAAGAAAATAAAACATGTATTTGTTCATTGTTTCAGCATGCACTCACCCACAAGTGAAAGCATGTCTGCAATCATGCTAGCCTTTATCTTCAGATCCAAGGGTGCATCGCTGTAAAAAGACAGAGTAGGTATGACATTTTTATACAAACAAATATTTCAAATAACTAAATACTTGAGCTGCTCTAGTATTTTTGTGACTAGAGCTATTACAGAGTTATGATCGGCTGTCTTCTTAGAAGGCTGGATAATTAAAATACTCTAAATGAGTGATTCTACTAATAAGTAAAGCAAGGAAAGAACTGAGTCACTCACCAGGACAGAGAGGGTGAAAGGTTCACCTCTAACAACCAGGGCTTAAGGTTGGAGTCAATTAGGACATCAAACCCGTACAGTTCTACAGAAAGGACAATCACCAGAACAAATTAACATTTTTAATTAGTTAATTTAGTTTAGAACGGGGGCAGCATGTTGGAGTATCTCTGTCATGTTAGCTCTGATTTGTTTTTTCTGTAGACTTTGGTTCATACCTTTTTGGTTAAGGCATTACATGTTTGGACAGTTATTCCCTCTGGTTTTGATGTCATGACAGTCATGAAAACCAGTTTTTACCTGATTTGTTGCAAGACTGGCTGCAACATTCAACTTGCATGATACCATTTATGACATTCAATTTCCCTTTGGGATAAATAAGGTATTTCTTAATTTGAATTGAACTGAATGTAAAGCTGATGGAGATAAGAAAATCCCCACCCTCTGCATAGATAGATTGGTGTATTGGCATACCAATTTATGCCAATATAGAGATTGGCAAAGATTGGTATTTAATCTTCATCATATTCAGAAGAAGAAGATAAGAAATTCTGAATATCCACACTACCCTTCAACAACGTGTGAATGATTCTAAGGACCATTAGAAAAAGTTTCAACTAATTCCTGAGGTCAAATTAAGTCCATCTCGATAAAAGTCACACTCACAGCTTGAAATGTGAGGGTGTGTCCCAAGTGGCAAAACCTGGGGAATTAGAAAGCCTTAGGCGGCGTATTGTATATACAGCATTTCATTCCAGTAACAGCTAAGCACTGAGTGACACAATAAAAGCCTTTCACAAAGTGGTCAGAAAGTTCACAGAGTAAAATAAAAAAAAATTTAAAATCATCCATTTCATCTCGATTTTTCTCTCCCGTTTCACTGGCTGACTGATATATGGCTTACTGAAGCTGTCAGAGTATATGCGCCATATGAAAAGCCTCACACTGCTCTGGGGAGTGTCACCCAATAAGCCACCGGCCCCAGCAGAAGCGTGCAGGGAAACCACAGTCTTTTACAGGGTTAGGGTAGCGCCCGGCCAAAAAGCCAGAGGAAAAATCCTTCTAATGGCACTTCAAAAGAACAGACTGTGTTGAGAATAGGCTGGGGGGGTTGGCGGTTTCAGAGCTGCAATAACCAGCACTGTTTGCTCTAGCATCTCAGGTCAATGCCAGTGTTAAGCACACAAAACCCAGCATGACAGCCGGCAATGGCCTCAAATTGCACCTAAGGTAACACTGATAAAATTAAGCCGTTCCACTTTAACCAAATGGTGTTACTGTAATTTAGAGCACGAATAAAGTGCAAACTAATCAGAAAAAATAAATTAATGGTTGCTTAAACAAGAAGAAAAGTGTCCATATTTAAAGTCAGATATCTGGTGAAGATATTTGTTTTTATCAAGTACTGGTAGGGATAAAAAAAAACTGTTTGTGGAAATGCAGAAAATCCATTTGTTTCCTTTTAAGCGGCTTCACCTTATTTGGATATAAAATGATTTCCCATGTCTCTATTAATGATTTAACTATCAATGTAAGCATTGATAGTTGCCCCTCTATACCAGCATCAAGGTAGGGGTTTCCCTGGAGAAAGCTGGAACTGAACTCACAGCTACTCTTCATGGTGGCACCTCATTTTCTTGTAAAATCTCCTGAAAAATGCAGTTTAGTGTTTTTTTTTTTTTGTGTGTGTGACATTTTAGACAAAGTATAAATAAACAGGTTCAATCTAACTTTAAGGTTGTCTAGAGACAAAACAAGTAGTAAAAATACCATTTTTGAATGAGTGTGAATTCAGTTAGTCAAAAACCAATATATCAACGGTTAAAATATTTGGCAAATGCATTCATTCAGTACAGACTAATTTCTTTTAAAACATGGAATGAGGGAAAAGTGTGGAAAATGTCACATATTCCACATCTCAATTATTTTTTCACACTTATTAATTTCTGGAAAAAATAAAATAAAATTCCAGACTTTTCAAAACGAACAATGTTGACAAAAATGTTTTTTGGAGATCATTCAAAAAATATCTCTGATAACCTTGAAAACCTTGTTGATTGTATGCTGTATATTTTTGAATTTCATAATAACTAATTACTATTTCCTTTGACTTTTCAAATCGTGTTTCTCAAAAGTACACTGTGTCCTGTCTAATTTTCTATGAAAACAAGGACTGGAATCCACACAAGTATGTATTTTGTATTAATCAAACTAGAATATTTAAAAGGCATCGTGCTTTCATTGTTTAAGGAGTGTAAATCGCATAAACTCAAACTGATTCTTACTGACGGAAAGAAAGTAAATCTGCCATCCATTCAAGAGCCAGGAACTATAACACATCTGCACAAGATGGACAGGACCCCCTGATGTTAAACAGTGCAAGACCTTACAGGATTTTATTTTCCACTTGTCAGCTAATCCTATTCTATTCAATTCAGTGAAGGGACAAAAACACATACAGACGACATGAAACAAGGAGAGAAGGAGTGTATGTATCATAAAACATTAGTGTTGGAGAACAGAGCACTGGAATAATTGAGGTTTTGAGCCTACTTTGCCTCATCAGTGGCACAACAACAGCAGGGGGAAAATGGGGAGGTGTTACAACCACCTCACCAGCCTCCGACAAGCAGACTCCATGTGCCACAAATTTTTCCCTCAATTAGAAGCCGACGCCGCCGATGCCCCGCGAGCCTGCCGAGCAGCTTAATGTCAGACACGTTTGTTCTGTGGCTCGACCGCTGCCGGGGGGGACCGCTTTTAAATGTGCCCACAGACAGCCCACAACAAGCATCACAGACAAGCAGGCGTGAGGAGCTCAACATCTACATCACACCCCTCAAAGAGAGAGGGGAGGGGACAGGACAACCGTGACAGAAACAAAAAAAAGGGATGATGAAGAGCATTTTCTTTCTTTATTATAGGAGGGCGCCGCTGGAAAAGTTCACCACAAGAGACAAACACCCAAAAACAATGATCACCCCACCCTGGCCACTGAGCCTGGTAGCCCACAATAACAAGGGCATCTTTCAAGTGTGCTTTCTTCATGCGATGGGACAATTGAATTACTTTCATGTCATTCTGGGATAAATCATGGCAGCTAAACTGGTTCACTGCTGCTGGAAGAAGCACGGCAGATGTGGAAATCCTCGGAGAACAACAAATTAAAGTTGCAGTAAGCACTCTGTAGTCTTATTGTGACGGCGGGAACAAAAACCGTTAATCGCTTACACAGCAGCTACACTGCCATTGCAGGGGATGCGAACCCTGCACTGCTGAGAAAAGTATCTGAAACGGAGAGACGCTCACAGAGGGGCTGATCCAACCAACACTCAGCACTTAATGAGGTACGCTTGGTGGAACACAGGACCAGTAAGTGGAATGTTTTGTGTGTAATAAAATAGGCCTTTGGCTTGGCTAATCAGATCTTAGTCAAAACATCTCATAATCAGCATCTCTCAGCAAAAAGCCTGTCCATTAATCACACAGCAGCGGTGAGGAGCTGCATGGGTGGCATTTTCTCCCCGCAGAAAGACTCATACACCCATATACACTTCTTACAGCGTAAAAACAGTTTTTATTTCATCCCACATGAGACATTACTGAGCTATAAAAAGACTTTTTATTGTACGCACATGTAGATGCACGGTATAATTTGAGCTAAAAGGAAGAAATCCTATTGTTTTAAAGCCATTAATAAACTTCAAAATCAAAGGGAAGAATTTGAAGTAAATTAGGATTATAACGTGCTTAATGATTTTGCAAGGCTCTCTCTCCAGACATGCCAGAGATTGTATATGAAAAAAAAACAAAAACACAAAATAATTACTACTTTTATCAGTAAAAAGCACATACTTTGTAGTTTACTATTATAAACAGCTGCTGAGGCCCGGCAGTAAAAGAAGCATGGGGGTATTGTAGGTTATAGAGTGGAAGAACATACTGAGAATAAGGAAGGGAGGAAACTGTGGAGTACAGAATAGG